ACACATCCTGTGCATATCTTCCCTACTGATTTGTTTTAAGGTTCATTTAACAACACAGTGCCAAGGATAAAAACTTGCTTGCTAGATAACACTTATCCATAATGCTCCCATCTCCATCTAAAGCTTTAGTAAACGGGCGTATTTTGTGACTATGGCACCCTTGTTGACAATCGTTTCTTTTTGATTTTAAAGTTCATATTGCAAGATCATCATTTTTCACTCACTTTGACTCACACTTTAACTCTTGTAAAGTCTTTTTTTTAAGGTACAAAGAATTACACATCTGAAAAAAAGGTGGTTAATTAATTCTCTTTGAGAGATCTTGATAAGAAAAAAGCTTGATCTTTGAATTGTTGAAAACACCTATGATTAAAAAGATTCTAACCTTAATGTTATTTACAGAAAGTTAAGGAATTATTTTAAAACCCAAGATATTGCTGTTTGCATGAAAAAATTCAAGCATTGTGGTGTATTGTCAGTCCCTTGTGAAATGACGTTGAAATTATGGTTCTTATTGCAGAATAGGGTTCAAAATTGGGCGTCCATAGATGTGCCTTAAATTTTCTGATTTTCAGGAATAGCTTGTATCATTCAAAAGTTCAAAAGTGCCAAGGTTGGCAAATCTTAACACTGTATGAATAACAGATAAATATCTATCATGGAGGTATTCTAAGAAACATTTTACAGACAAATCATGTTGAATTTTATCAACAGAAGACAATTTTACACGATTCTCTTGAAACTAACCTTGAAAAAAAACTGCATTTTGTTTTACTCTGCCAGAAATTATTGCCAGAAATATGATTTAAATGAGATGCCTGTTGAAAATGTTATGTTAAACAGTAATTTCATACCTTTCAAACTTTGTAAAAAGATATTAATACTTGGAAGAAATTTTCAATTGTTTGTGATTGGTTGTTTGTAGTTTAGCCTCCAGATCATAATTATGGCAGCAGTAATTTACCACAGGATAGTTCAGCTGCCACTTTCTGCCACTTTGTTCCTTTGCAAGTTCTATAGCATTTAAACCAGTCTTGCCTTCATTTTTGCAAGGAACTGCTAGCTAATCTGCATAATGCCAGAGCAGTGGTACAGTGTGAAAGACTGTTGAAAGGATTTCATGATCAGTCACAATGAAAGTGACAATTAAACCCAAGTCACCTGGTTCATGGTCCAACAATATACCATTTGAGCTAACAGGGCAGTTCTATTTTCAATTGTTTGATTTTTCTTCTTATATACACATCAGAAGCCTCAGTCTCTGCAATTTCTGTGGCATAATGATTCGGATTGCCCTACAATTATCTCATCACCTTCAGGATGATGACCAATGAATTGCCATAATTATATGTCAACTACATTGGGTTTTTTTAAATAAATAATTAAGATAAGTGGCATTTGGTTGATGACCATTGGTTTACCATATATTATCTCAACATAGTAATTCTTATAGTATTTTAAAACTTTATTCTTTGGAGTGATATCTCAGATTTCCATATAATTCAGCAAAATCAGTTTTGTTGAATGAAAATTCAAATTCAAATAAGAGTGCATTGCACAAATATAATGGACTGAAGGTCAGAAGATGAAACTTGAATAATTTTATTGACCTTTGATAACTTATGCGCAAAATTTCAGACCATTCTGTTACTCATTTATTGTTAAAATAATAATTTTCTTTGCGTATAATGACCTCAAAATAAAAAGCGTTTATATAACCTCTATAAAATTGATGTTAAATTGCTTTTTACTATGTATTTTCTGATAACATCTTCATTATTTTTGACATTTCATAAAACCAGACTCAATCAATTAGGCACAATGTTTTCAGGGAATGTCAAAAAATGAAAAATATATTTTTTGCAAAAAAAACCTCAAACAAAACCTTGTTTTATCCATTGTTAGCTAAAGTAAATCATTCTGGAATGCATGTTTAATTAGAAGCGCCTTGCATTGCCTGTAGCCATTGATAAAATCGTTGTTTTCTCATTTGGAATAAATATTTGCATGTGTTTATCACAATTAATTCAGATCTTAACCAGCTTTTTTTCTATGTTATTTTGGCAGTTTTTCTGCTAATCAGATCATTTGTGATATTAATGTGATAGTTTATTAACATACTACTATTCTATTTTATTATATACTTACAAATGAAATATTGAGAAATATTGATGAAATAAAATGCGTATTTTCATTTTCCGTATTTTCACTGTAAAAATTTATTTTTCACTGCAGTGAAACATATTTTCCGTATTTTCACTGGGGTCTTGCCGGACTACTTTCTTTTAAATTCTGCCAGTACACAAAATTTAAGAGAAAGTCTTTCAAATTTTAATGTCAAAAAAGAGAAAAATGTATATTATAAACAGAAAATTCAAGTTTTTTCTATAAATACATGATTTATTTTCAAATTACCATATTTCACTCGTGGCTACCGCCACTCATGAAATATTTATTTTCATACCACTCGATGAAAATAAATCATGTATTTATAGACAAAACTTGAATATCCTCTATTTATATCAGTAATATTATTTGAATTTTTTGTGATATGTCACACCAATTTTGTATTAAGAATAATGAAAAAGTTAAGAAAAAAATATTTAGAAATAAAGCATTTTGAATGGTAATGGAATTTTTCAAAGATTTTTTTTTCACTTTAAGAAAATAATATTGACATATATTAATTCATGAATATTACATTTAGCTCGGTCAAAAAACATTCGATGTTCTTGTGTTGTCTAGAGTAAGCTCCCTTTGAAACAAGCAATACAACTGTATCCATTCTCACTTTTGTTATGTTCTGATTTACATTTCTTACAATTTGCCCTTAATGATTTGTAATATTTTGGATTGCTTTGGTTTAGTGCCAGTGTACATAGAGGATATTCAAGTTTTTTCTATAAATACATGATATATTTTCATCGAGTGGTATGAAAATAAATATTTCATGAGTGGCGGTAGCCACGAGTGAAATATGGTAATTTTCATGCCACAAGATGAAAATAAATCTATTTATAGAAAAAACTTGAATTTTCTGTTTATTATATACATTTTTCACTTTTTGACATTAAATTTGGAAGGTTTTCCCTTAAATTTTGTGTACTGGCAGAATTTAAAAGAAAGTAGTCCGGCAAGACACCAGTAAAAATATGGAAAATATGTTTCACTGCAGTGAAAAATAAGTTTTTACAGTGAAAATACAGAAAATGAAAATACGAATTTTATTTCATCAATATTGCTCAATATTTCATTTATAAGTATATAATAAATAGAGGATATTCAAGTTTTTCTATAAATACATGATTTATTTTCATCGAGTGGTATGAAAAAAAAAAATTCATGAGTGGCGGTAGCCACGAGTGAAATATGGTAATTTTCATGCCAAAAGATGAAAATAAACCATGTATTTATAGAAAAAATTGAATTTTCTGTTTATTATATACATTTTTCTCTTTCTGGACATTTAAATTTGAAAGTCTTTTCCTTAAATTTTGAGTACTGGCAGAATTTTAAAGAAAGTAGTCCGGCAAGACACCAGTGAAAATACGGAAAATATGTTTCACTGCAGTGAAAAATAAATTTTTACAGTGAAAATATGGAAAATGAATATACGCATTTTTATTTCGTCAATATTTCTCAATATTTCATTTAAAAGTATATAATAAATACATGTACAAATGTATATATTGTTATGTCTATCAGTGACCAGAATGATACTGTAGCTGAACTAAGAATAAATCATTGCCAAAATGCATAGTATACAAATGTAGTACTGAGAAGGGAGGAATAATCACTTTTCGTACCAATATCTCACAGAAAATATGTGAAACCTCAAGGCTTTCAAGTTCACCAAGTCTGCCTGTTTATGCTAATAGCTGCTTCAGTTAAATGGGCATGCTTACAAAAAGAACTTGAAAAACAACACACTTGTTAAAGTAGACTAATATGCCATGATGAAAATATTTTGAAAATTATTATTGCCAGGCGGAATTGGATTTTTACTGGTCCAGGCGGAATTGGATTTTTCCTGGTCAGAAATAGAATTAGACTCATATTCAATGTATTGAGTAATATTTAAATTGTCCTCATGAATGATTAAGCGTATGAGGTTTAAATTGAATAATGGCAAAAAACAGTCAAATTGACTTCAGACTGTTATAAGCATGAAAGAATGATGCTGTTCATCGAATAATATATTTACACTAAGCTTATCTTAATCTTCCCCTATTCATATAACAAAAATGTTGGTTAACCCCACAAAGATTCAAAAACTTAAAAACATAAAATTGGAGATTAATATTCATATGAACCTCTGCATTAGAAACTATGAAATATGTGAAAGATAGAACAAAGATATAATCAAAATTCAGTTGACATAGGGGAATTAAACACTTTTCATTTTTATAAGTCATTTTTTACAATTTAACTAATTAATCTAGAAAAAAACGAGTGAAAGAACCATCTGAAGTTATTTGTACAAGACCTACATCAAATGGTAAACAAAGAAATTTTTTAAAAAATATTTCCAGTCAATAAGCCTCATTGGAATAATCCTTGAACAAGCACTTTACCAAAAGTACATTTGTTAGATTGGATATGAGGCATGGAGCATGTCATACTGCAGTTGTAAACATAAACAAATTTATTTTAAGACACTGTGAACTGTTTAGATCAAGGCACCTGTATAATATTATAAGCCCTTGTAGTAGAAATGAGTCAACTAGTTATAGGATAGACATAATATTCCGGACTCGGTACTCTGCAAGTGTGGCTTTTTTTCCCCCGTCTAATCGGTAGGCGTAAAATCTATTGCAAAATTTTCTGACTAATAATGCTGTATCTCTGGTTAATATTCATTCAACAATTTTGAAGGAAAAAGAAAGAAAAACAGCAGAAAGCCCCCACACACAGATCCGTGTTTGTTTTGGGGCTATATCAATCTGCACTCCATAGCATAAATATTTAAAATCTATCATCATGACAACAAAATTGATTACCTGTTACTGTAGTTATCACAACATGACTGTCCTGTTCTCTAAACCTATCATACTAAACCGGAACTGTTCCACAGATAATTTTCTTATTATTTGTCTTTACTGTACTACAACGTTGATTGGCAGAAATGCAAGTTAAAATGTCAGGAACACTTTTCCTGATAAAATGAAAATCAGGTGTTTTTATTTGGTTGAAGTAATTTCTTTTATCAGTGTCAAAAATTTAATTTTTATCAAAATTGACGGAAAAAAAAACTTAACAATTTTGCACTTGTCTGTTATTTTAATCTTAGAAACTGAAGTAATGAAAATTTATCATGATAAAGTTGTATTAAATCCTGCCTTGGTATTTAATTAATATAAATTCACTTGATGATATTCAAATTTATGTCCTGTCCTAGGTTTTTTTTCTTCTCTTTTTTCTTCAATTTTCAATCCAAAGAAAAAAACATAAAGAATAAGTTTTTTTTTCAAATTTTCTATGTATATTCACCAGCACATTTTATACTAAAGTGAAGTAAGCTAGGAAATCTCCTTTCCAATCAGTAAATGTCTATAGATATACCAGCTTGCTGATAAGCATTTAGGCTTGTCTTAAACCCCTAGGGGAATCAGCTGAAGTATTTTTAGGAGTTTTGAAATACTTAGTGTGGTTTATGTAATATGCAGAGAGTTTTTTGAGTTTTTATTCTTGAAACTCAGAAGTCTTTTGGGTTTTTTATATTTATGTATTTTCCATGTTAATCTCTTGGTTATAATTACTGGTACATGTTATAGTGTAGTGTCTATCATTCACATTTTGGCAGTTACTTGACAAATGTATCAATAAATTAACCTTGATTCCACAAGTATATAACTATTATCCTGAACCTTTGAAAGTTTCGTTCCTTAAGTATATTTTTAACAACTTTTAAACTTTGATTCCTCAAGTATTATAGAACCATGATTCAACAACTTTTAAACTGCAATTCCACAATTATATAACCATTATTCCTCAGCGTTTCAAAAGTGTATGTATCTATGATTATTATAAATCTTTGAAACCATGATTCCACAATTATGTTAATTACCATGATTCCACAACTTTGAAAGTGTCATTTCAGAAGGTGGTATATCCATAATTCAACAACTTTGAAACCTTGATTCCACAAGTTTATAACCATGATTCTACAGTTTTGAAAATTTCATTACAGACATATATTTATATATATTTATTACTATGATTCCTTTATAAAACCATGATTCCACAAGTATTTAATCTTGTGCCTACAACTCATGCCTACAACTCATGCATGTATATATATATATATATCCATGAGTCCTTTACTTTGAAATTTTTATTTCACAAGTATTAATTATGTAACCACAGATTTCATCAAGTATATATAACCATGATTCTACAAGTATGAAATCATGGTTCCACAAGTATATAACAATGAATTTGCCAGTATTCAACCATGATCCCACTTAAGTATGCTTCCATATAACCATGATTCCACAAGTATGTATGTAAGTATGTAAGTGATAAAATTGGGAAGAGTTGGAAGAAGTTGGAGGAGGGGATGAAACTGGGAGGAGTTATGATGAATTAGAAGAGGGAAATTGAATTGGGAAGAGATTATTGGGATAAATTGGAGGGGGGGGGTTAAACTGGGAGAATTAAGTTCAAATAAATTAGAAGAGGAGTTGGGATAAATTGGGGAAGGGGCAATTTTACAGGTAGGAGTGGGGATAAATTAGAGGAGGAGAATGGAAAGGGTTTTAACTGGAAGGATTAGGTATAAATTCATTATGAGGAATATGATTTTTCAGTTGTACTTTAATTGTGTTTCTGTGATGAAACATGATGAAACAGTTATTGGCTCTATCTCAACAGAATTTTCTGTTATCTTCTAAGTATGATATCTTTCTTTTAAAGTTTTAATGGGTTATATTAATGTGTCTTTCATTTTCTCCTCTTTCCTTATCATAATGATATAAAAATCAAAAATATTTAAGATTTCAATTAATGTGTTGATTTCTTCCATAAGATAAGTGCATTACTTTCAGGGAAATGTCAAGGAAAGAAAACTTGTTTATTTACAAGTAAATGCTTAATTATCATAAAACCACACAAAACAAATTGATAAAAACATTGTTCTGTGTTTAAGAAAAGTTTCATAATTAATTGTTTTTTGGTTAGATGTAAGCTAGCATTTTGGCAATCATTATAACTCTTTTGCAACCCTTGAAATTTTGCACATTTTTTTTATGTGTGTGTGTCCCTGTCCAAGAACAACAATGTTCAAGAATGCTCTTTGTGAATTAAGAAAAGATGTAAAGGTGTTGTTTGCAAGTTCTATCTCCATAATCACTAAAGGTATTCATTTAAAACTTTACACATATCTGTTTCAAAGACCCATAACTTTTAATAAAGTAAACATTGATTGTCACTAAATTAAATTTCCATTTTTATATGCCCCTTTGAAAAACCTCTTTGTTGAACTGATATGTTACTGCTCATCCTTGTCAACTGTTTAGACTTACATATTTAAGGTATAATGCACTTGATGACCGTTGTTGTTGTTGTAATATATTTCAGGTAATTGTAGATGACCTTGACAATTCTATCACATATGATTTTCCTTGTAACCGATGGCTGGCTCTTGATGAAGATGACGGGCTGATATTCCGAGATTTGGTCGCTGGAGTCGGGGCCTCGGACGCTTTTACTGGTAAGCTTTACAGATTATTTTTGATTTATTATTAGCTTTCCCATAGGACTTTGTTTTTACTTTCTCCTTTTAAATAACTTTACTTACAACAGCATTATCATTAAGCAATTAGATTTATTAGATTTTTTGTCATAGTTACTTGTATAAATTAACAAATTACTTATAAATATCAGACCAAATGTAAAAGTTATTGAACACATGGCCACTTATCTGTCATGTGACTGATGTATGTGGAGAATAGAGTTTTCAGTTTATTATATACAAACAGGAAGTGCATTTTATAAGTTTATTACTGATCTAAATATAGAATATATAAGTGGCAGAATCAGGTTACAGATTGGAACAGTAATTGGACATAATAATACTGTGTCTTTTGTATTCAAGTATCGGTAACTGCATTGTGGGATACCCACGATTGATAAACATGTCACATAACATGCAATCAATGTTAAAGGTTCCGCCCTGGGTATCTGACGATGCAGTAACTGTTGAGACTGGGTCTTTTGTATTTAACAGATAACAATGGCATTTAAATTAATTGTGCTCATTTTTAGCTCGACTATTCGATAAGAATAAGTAGAGCTATTGCAGTCACCCGAGCGTCGGCGTCGGCGTCGGCGTAACCACTTATGTTAAAGTTTTTGTAATAGTTCAAATATTTTCAAAGTCCATAGACATATGGCTTTGAAACTTTGCACACTTGTTCACCATCATGACCCCAACCTGTAGACAGGAGGAGGTAACTCTATCAAGCATTTTGACAGAATTATGCCCCTTTTTCGACTTAGAATTTACGTTAAAGTTTTTGTAATAGTTCAAATATTTTCAAAGTCCATTGACATATGGCTTTGAAACTTTGCACACTTGTTCACCATCATGACCCCAACCTGTAGACAAGAGGAGGTAACTCTATCAAGCATTTTGACAGAATTATGCCCCTTTTTCGACTTACAATTTACGTTAAAGTTTTTGTAATAGTTCAAATATTTTCAAAGTCCATTGACATATGGCTTTGAAACTTTGCACACTTGTTCAACATCATGACCCCAACCTGTAAACAGGAGGAGGTAACTCTATCAAGCATTTTGACAGAATTATGCCCCTTTTTCGACTTAGAATTTACGTTAAAGTTTTTGTAATAGTTCAAATATTTTCAAAGTCCATTGACATATGGCTTTGAAACTTTGCACACTTGTTCACCATCATGACCCCAACCTGTAGACAAGAGGAGGTAACTCTATCAAGCATTTTGACAGAATTATGCCCCTTTTTCGACTTAGAATTTACGTTAAAGTTTTTGTAATAGTTCAAATATTTTCAAAGTCCATTGACATATGGCTTTGAAACCTTGCACAGTTGTTCAACATCATGACCCCAACCTGTAAACAGGAGGAGGTAACTGTATCAAGCATTTTGACAGAATTATGCCCCTTTTTCGACTTACAATTTACGTTAAAGTTTTTGTAATAGTTCAAATATTTTCAAAGTCCATTGACATATGGCTTTGAAACTTTGCACACTTGTTCACCATCATGACCCCAACCTGTAAACAGGAGGAGGTAACTGTATCAAGCATTTTTTTTACTATCAAGCACTAAGAATAGTCGAGTGTTGCTGTCCTACCGACAGCTCTTGTTTAAAGGAAAATTTCTTTGCCAATGAAAGAATTTTGTTGTGTAATATCTTCCCTCTGAAATTTAAAAATATTGCATTTGAGGAAAAATTATTGTTTGATTATCATAATCAGGTACAATGACAAAAAAGAAAGGTAAAATAAATTGTCGAGATATTCAGTTTTGGTAGCATGATTATAGGGTGGTTAAGGTAGCATGATTTGTTTTGTATTGCATGCACAACATGCATTGGTTAAGTTTTTTTGAGGCACATGCAAAATTGGAAATTTTTATTAATCTTTTACTTTCAATGTGATAACCCTTCCACCCCACACAATAATATTGCCTTCAGGATTAGTCCTTATATATAATTTATATATTAGTTACATGTATTTTAAGTACATTTTTCTTGCTCATATCTAATGTTTTTAGTGGAGCAATTTTAAATTGTCTTGCCTTTTGAACTAAATGTTCAGTGAAGTCTATGCACCTGACACCTAAATTAATTTACCATTAATGGATTCTTAAGATCAAAACAATTTAAAGATAAAAAAAGACCCAGTGCTAGAAAACAAATATTATTTCTTTTTTCTAATGTCACGTGTGCCACAATCTCCATCAGCTATAAACCAAAATTCCAGAAAACAATCTCTACATTATTGGCTCTATTACATTTTATTACTTTATAATCAATTTCAATGCTTGTTTAATATTCCATAGATTTAATATTCCCTCCAATTCAATTAAAGATCTTTAGCTTGATAATTGATCCCAAATTGCCAAAATTAATTAATATTTTGTAGTTTAAAGTGTAATTAGAAAGAGGAGTAAAACAAATTGGGAGGCATAATTGCAGGAAGAATGTGTTTGAAGCCATATAAATCAATTTTACCTGTCTTAATGATCACTTAATTATCCCCGTAATCAAACGTTAAATGCTGTATGATATTTCATTTTATGACCCGCACATTCCTCCAGTGCATTTTTTGGTGCAATTTTTGCAAGTTTAATCACTATAATGAGGAAGATCACATGTTTGAAGTGAGCTTTTAATTGTAAGCATAGATAGTTTTTATGCAGCCAGTTTTTATGTTGTTTAAAAAAACGCAACAGAATCTTACTCAATTATAAGAAACAGAAGTTGCATTTAAGACCTACCATTGGCTACCTTTCCTTTGATAGGTTACAATTTTTTTATCTGTAATCAAATAAATCTTACAAAACATGCAGGAAATATGCAAGCTGGGATTGCTTTGTAGTGCAGTATAAAAATTTGTACTGAGGTTCCCTTTAGTGAGTCTTCATTAAATTCCTAATGGAATCTTGCCAGGAGAACCCTTGTGGCCAGCTCAGTAGGCACAAGTTTTTTCCAAGAAACCTTAAATTGAAAAGTTTGTGTCCAGGCTGTTATACACTTATATTTTTCACTTTTTATTTTCTTTATTCTTACACTTTTCACTGTAGATATAGAAAATTAATATATAATTATGTCACATTTATAAAATTTCTTATATATGTATAATGTTGAAATAATGTTTACTTATCTTTTTGCATGTTTTTTCAGGATCAAAAGGTATAGTTAAATTATCCCCCTTTATAAACCATATTCTTGATTATTAACTCCCTTTGTTACCCTGATAAGTACCTCCCGTTGTTACCCTGATTAAGCCAGATAGTGATAGACATAATAATAATTATAAAATTATGTTTTTTTTTTGTTTTTTTTTGCAATTTCGACAATTAGATAAGGTATCAGTGTTTAGTTGAAATAAAATGTTGCAAATTTATAGACACTTGGCAAAACTCAAAGTAATACTCAAATGAAATAACATTTTGGCTTGACTAAGTGGTTGCTCCCCTTGTTATTTTCACATGTCTTTCCATAATTTGCGTTATCCATATTTCTCTTAAAAGTAAAAAACATTGCTATATATTTAAACTTGCTTATTATTTAAAATACTTTAATTCTTTTAGAAAATTCACTTTTCATTTTTTTCTTTCTTTATATTTTCTTTTAAGGAGAAAAATTAGTTAATCGTAAGAGCATTGTATATTTCCTTTTGATATTTGTCGTCTGCTGAGTTGTTGCTAGTTTCCTTATAATAGATAAAGCACTTTAACCCTTTCAGAAAATGAATAGCCTGGAGCCTGACCAGTCTGAACAGTTTGTGCAGTCTGACCTGGTTCTATACTGTTGACAGCTCTATTTCTAAATATTTGTGCTCTATTTCTAAATATTTGTGCTCTATTTCTAAATATTTGTGCTCTATTTCTAAATATTTGTATTGAAATCCCTTAAAATACAAAATGGATGGTTCCAAATTCAAGTATCCATTACACAAATTTAGTAGCTAAAAGGTTAAATTTTTAAATTGTGGACCAGTCTTAAACTCTAACATTTGATTGGTCTATTTTGTGAACCAATTCAAAATTGACCCATGAAAGCCTTGTTTTAAGAGACTGGTCAACAAATTTTTATTTTATAATTATGGGCCTTGAATGTGATTGTTAAAAGTGTAATGAAGTTTGATGTTTTTATTTCTAAGTAGTTGGCTTGAAAAGTGTTTGTATTTAAGATTGCTGTTTATTTTGTTTTTTTTTTATTGAGAATGTACTTCTGCTATTTTTAGATAGTTTTTTTCCTGTCTTCCACTGTGTAGGCTTAAATTAGAGAGTTTTAAAGTCTGTTTTTGACAGAATAAGCCTCCTGTTGTGTTACTGTCTGCAAGCTTTATTTTTCTTTTGTTTGAATGCTGGTGATGGAATAAAATAATCAGTTTGAAGACCCAAATATTGGACATTTTTTATTTTAAACATGTTTGAAATTGACAAGTCAAAAGGCTGCATGTACAGTCTGGATGCCAATTTTTGTTGACATTTCTTTGCTTTTTGGTGCGCATGTAAGCTTTTGGCACTTAAATTCTCCTTTGCCTTACTTCAAATCTCTGGCCTCTCATGTGTGGATTGGAATCCCAACAGCAGCATTAAGTTGTTTTATAGTAGAAGGTTTGCTGCCTTCTTACTTGTGCATGAAATGCTGCTTGGTGGAGCTACTGTACTTTTTTTAGGCGGCCATACCTTATAATCTTATATAAGCTAGACAGTTGCTTTGCTAGCTTTACTGTGTTTCTGCAAAATCAAGACTTTTATTATTAACTATGCTTTATACATATATAACAGGCGTCTCTGTGGCTGAGTGGTTTAGGTCACAGACTTAGACTCACTTTCGCTCAACACTGTAGGTTTGAATTAAGAGACTGGTGGTTCTACTTGGGTGCCTGCTTGAGCCTGAAATAATACATGGCTTCAGTAATGTACACAGAGTGACCCAGGTTTTCCTCCTGTAGGTAGGTTGGAAAGTTATGATATGACTTTTAGAGTACTGTTTGGCATGTATATATACATGTATTTATACAGCAAACCAAATAAACGTCGGAATCACAGACATCAAAGATCAGGAAATGCGAGAATCAGGTTGTTATACATATTTCTGGCCTGTAAGATGTCATCTAGGACTTTGTTTGTGAACTATTTTTTCCTTGCAGACTGTTATTGAAAGCATCATCTTATCTGATATATCTCATCTAACATGTTAACATGTTTTCCTTGACAAGTTCACCTTAGTCTGGAGATTTTTGTTGTTGTTGTTGCTAAAAATAGATAAGAACGATCATGAGCTCATTGCAACACTGTCATAATGTTTCATTTTTAGCTCGACTATTCGCAGAATAATCGAGCTAATGCAGTCACCCATTTGTCGGCGTCGGCGTCGGCGTCGGCGTCCCTGTGGTTAAGTTTTTGTATGTAAGCTGGTATCTCCATAACTACTGAAGGGAATGGATTGAAACTTCACACACTTGTTCTCTGTGATTATCTAAGATGATTGGCACAAGTCCCATAACTCTGATTTGCTTTTTTTCATAATTATGCCCCTTTTTCGACTTAGAAATTCTTGGTTAAGTTTTTGTATGTAAGCTGGTATCTCCATAACTACTGAAGGGAATGGATTGAAACTTCACACACTTGTTCTCTGTGATGATCTAAGATGATTGGCACAAGTCCCATAACTCTGATTTGCTTTTTTTCATAATTATGCCCCTTTTTCGACTTAGAAATTCTTGGTTAAGTTTTTGTATGTAAGCTGGTATCTCCATAACTACTGAAGGGAATGGATTGAAACTTCACACACTTGTTCTCTGTGATTATCTTAGATGATTGGCACAAGTCCCATAACTCTGATTTGCTTTTTTACATAATTATGCCCCTTTTTCGACTTAGAAATTCTTGGTTAAGTTTTTGCGTGTAAGCTTGTATCTCCATTACTACTGAAGGGAATGGATTGAAACTTCACACACTTGTTCTCTGTGATTATTTAAGATGATTGGCACAAGTCCCATAACTCTGATTTGCTTTTTTACATAATTATGCCCCTTTTTCGACTTAAAAATTCTTGGTTAAGTTTTTGCATGTAAGCTGGTATCTCCATAACAACTGAAGGGAATGGATTGAAACTTCACATAGTTGTTCTCTGTGATAGTATTACATGATTGGCACAAGCCCCATAACTCTAATTTGCTTTTTTGCATAATAATGCACTCCTTTTTCGACTTAAAAATTCTTGGTTAAGTTTTTGCATGTAAGCTGGTATCTCCATAACTGCTGAAGGGAATGGATTGAAACTTTGCACACTTGTTCTCTGTGATTATCTTAGATGATTGGCACAAGTCCCATAACTCTGATTTGCTTTTTTAAATAATTATGCCCCTTTTTCGACTTAGAAATTCTTGGTTAAGTTTTTGCGTGTAAGCTGGTATCTCCATAACTACTGAAGGGAATGGATTGAAACTTCACACTCTTGTTGTCTGTGATTATCTAAGATGATTGGCACAAGTCCCATAACTCTGATTTACTTTTTCGCATAATTATGTCCCCTTTTCGATTCATAAATTCTTGGTTAAGTTTTTGTGTGTAAGCTTGTATCTCCATAACTACTGAAGGGAATGTAATGAAACTTGAAGGGTTTGTACCTTTTCGGACAATTTTATGTATTCATATAGGTAAGCATTATTATACTCAATGAAACACCCTTGTGACAAATTTTTGAATAGTCGAGCGTTACTGTCCTCCGACAGTTCTTGTTAGCTCGACTATTCGCAGAATAATCGAGCTAATGCAGTCACCCATTTGTCGGCGTCGGCATCCCTGTGGTTAAGTTTTTGTATGTAAGCTGGTATCACCATAACTACTGAAGGGAATGGATTGAAACTTCACACACTTGTTCTCTGTGATTATCTAAGATGATTGGCATAAGTCCCATAACTCTGATTTGCTTTTTTACATAATTATGCCCCTTTTTTGACTTAAAATTCTTGGTTGTTTTTCCGTGTAAGCTGGTATCTCCATAACTACTGAAGGGAATGGATTGAAACTTCACACACTTGTTCTCTGTGATTATCTAAGATGATTGGCATAAGTCCCATAACTCTGATTTGCTTTTTTACATAATTATGCCCCTTTTTTGACTTAAAATTCTTGGTTAAGTTTTTCCGTGTAAGCTGGTATCTCCATAACTACTGAAGGGAATGGATTGAAACTTCACACTCTTGTTCCCTGTGATTATCTAAGATGGTTGGCACAAGTCCCATAACTCTGATTTGCTTTTTTGCATAATCATGCCCCTTTTTTGACTTAGAAATTCTAGGTAAATTTTTGCTTGTTAGATGGTCTCTCCATAACTACTGACTAACATATAACTTTTCGGACAATTTTATGTATTCATATAGGTAAGCATTATTATACTCAATGAAACACCCTTGTGACAACTTTTCGAATAGTCGAGCGTTACTGTCCTCCGACAGTTCTTATTTTATTTTTTCTTCATGTATATTTATCTGTGACCTATTGAATCTTTATGATAGACTTAAATGTCCGGTTTTGAATATAGTGGTTTTAGGGGTTTTCATCATCAAAATTCAGGGGTATTCTTGTCCGAGTGGTTAACAACTTTCATATCAAACCACTTGCCCCTTACCGCTGTATATTTGTATCCCTACAGTTACTTTGGAATCTTTCATGTGAGGAAGCAATCCAGTCTAAGCTTGCTGAAATCAGTGGTTCTACTCAGGTGCCCATTGGTGCCTGAAATAATGCACAGAAGGGTACCTCATGTATTCCTCCATCAGTAAAGCTAGAAAGTCGCCATATGGCCTATACTATGTTGGTGCAATGTGAAACCAAACAACAAAGAAAAACATAACATATCAAAATGCCACAAAAATTGAGCCATAACCAGTCTGATTGCATAGATAGGTTCCAATTTTAAATTACTTTGAAGTTTAAGATATTATCAAGATGGTTTAAGACCTTATTTTACAGCAAACAAGTCCAGTGTATAAAATGAGACCTTTAAATTTGCATAATTATCATCCTTAAATGTTTTTGCCTGGGCAATTTCTATGAACTGCAGAACTTAAAACTTCTATTACACTTTATGTAAATAAGATACAAGTATATAAAACCTATATACATGTATATGTTTGTTAATAATGATTTTTATTCCAACAGCAAACCCAGAATGTGATAATAATTACCATAGTAAATTAATAACACAATAATTTTTTTTATTCAAATCTGATTACAATAACTGATATAGTCCTTGTTTTGCAAATAAATGGAACAGTGATTGGGACGGACAAACTCTTTTTGTAGTTTTAAATTACTATTTGGCAAAGATAGAATAATAAGCCATTTTCATTGAACTTTGTTCTAGTTACTGATGACAGTTAAATAAGGTCCACAATGAAGTTTGTTCTAGTTTCTCGACAGTAAAATAAGGTCATGACATAATTAATTTTCTTATGAGGTGGTATAGACAATTGCATCATAAAATAATTGAATTTTATGAGAAATGAAATGAAAAAACACTGATTTTATAATGAGATAGAAACACATTAAGTATTTACCTTTAAATTAAAATATTAAGGAATTATAGCACCAAGTGGTATACCCATTCCCTCAGCCAGATGTTAGTAACAGATTTTACCCAAGGGACTGCAAATTTAATTAGTAGATATAGCTTTATTGATTTGTAACCCTTTAAGTTCAAAGATTTCATGGTAAAGTTATGTAATACTTTGATTTGTCAGTAAGTTGTGTACTTATTCCTACACTAATGTATTTAGAGAAGACAGTGGTATGCTGTTTTGCATACCACACATTGTCTTACCAATCTTATATAGTTGCTTTTATATGACAATGAAATTTAAGAGAAATGGTATAAAATTGATGTGTTTGTATGAAATTATTTCAACGTGTGAGAGGAATTTAAGTACATTCAATTGTTTTGAACTTGAATAGCTGAAAAGAATAGAATTTGCTGAATTTCATCTGTTTGAGTATACAAAATGTATTTCTTTGAAAAAAAATTGATATCATTCCTTTAAACCCTATCCATGCTATAAATTATAAGTGAACTTGTCCCTCTTTCAATCTCAACAAAAACCATTCATTGTTTTAAGGGAAAATCTGTACTACATGTATATACTGACTGCAAAGTGAACAGTGCAGACCATGAACAGTCAGCATAGAATGACAGTGCAGGCAGATCGTCGTCTGCACTCGTAGAATCAGTAGAAACTGTTGCAGCCGACCTCTGCTTGACGTTCAGAGAATTGTTACAAATTTTTACACACCTTTTACATTACAAGCCAGGCGGTCTACTTATGGCATGCACTTGCCAATCATTTTCGCTACTTGTGTTGAAAGAGTAGAAGATTAAGGAAATGTTTTTAAAATAGAAAAAAGATAAATATCTGTGAAGAAAATTGAACAAGCAATAAATTTTGAAGTGTTCTTAGCTAGCAGCTGACTGTGTCTCAGATTTATTTAATGAACTTTATCAAATTGATATGTTTATTATTGCAATTTCGTTAAAGATCCTGTATGTTTTGTGATTGATATTGTTACTGTGTGAATACCACACTTGCAAAAAGTTATATATGTATATAATTATGCAAATAAAACAAGTTTCAACCATCAAAGAATATGTAAAATGTGTACTGCAAATATTTGTGCACATTATATTTAATCAATAAAACACAAGCGTTCATTTCTTATTGGAAAATTTGACTTAAAATTTATAGAAAATAAATTTCTAATTACCTCCCTTTATTTACATGAAATGTTAAATTGGGAAATATCTTTATAAATAATGCTTATTGGAACTTACAATATTGACAAATCTTAATTTGAGCTTCATATCTATGAAATAAAACCATGAAAAAAATGTGTTACAGGATCTTTAAAACTAGTGTTACATAACCCATAGTGTAATAAATTTTAAGCATTTTAATAATAATAATGATATCACTGAGATTTTGAGAGGTACAATAATAAGATTAAATGTTTTTAATGTTTTTGAGCATACAGTACAACCTGTGCATATCGACCCTCTGTACAATAATAGCCTCTGTACAGGAGCAGTAACTATTGTTCACAGTCCATTAGCCTCTTTAGCCTTTTAGTAGCATCTCTCTGTAACAACCAAAATCCTCAGCTCCATAAGGGTGTCACTTGTCAGAGGTTGTACTGTATTATTTTGCATTTTTTCTGACTCATCTACAAGGGAACAAAGTTGTCAAAAATATAACAATTTTTATATTTATGCTACTTACAAAACTAATTTATGATTTTGACACTTTTCTTATGTTTTTTTTTATATTCTCCTACTTATAGCCACTTTTGAGACATTTAGTTGAGGAATAAAAAGATGACCTTATCAATGTCTATTTATTCTCTTTGCTGAAAGCTCTTTACTTTCAGCTTTCAGGTTAATAAAGGAGTTATCTCCCCTTTAAATATAGTAATTTTCTAATATTTTTCATTATCGTTTAGGTTTCCCATACGTTATAAGTGTAGTTACTGGAGACCGACAGAATGCAGGAACTGATGCCAATGTTTTTGTTGTCCTTCATAATGGCAAAAAGAAATTGGACAGCGGGAAAGTTTGGTTGTCCGATGGCAAGTTTAAACGCGGGATGACCCAGTTATTCCATATTAATCTACAAGTGATGCTAAGCCCGTTAACAAGTTTAGAAATCGGACATGATGACAGTGGGGCGGCACCAGGATGGTTTTGCGACCAAGTTATAGTATATTGCCCCAATACGGGTATTGAACAATACTTTTCTTGCAATAAATGGTTCTCTACATCTGAAGGTGATGGTCTCATTCAAAGGACTCTGTATGAAAACACAGGCATGAGAAAAAAGAAAGATAAAAGTAAGTCAAACGTTTTTGTTAGCTCACCTGAGCACGAAGTGCTCAAAGGTGAGCTTTTGTCATCACTCTGCGTCCGTCGTGCGTCGTGCGTCCTTCAAAAAATGGCGTCAAACTTTTCAAACAACATCTCCACCTAAACTACATGGCCAATTGCAACCAAACTTTACAGAAATGATCCTTAGGTGGACCCCTTTCAAAGTTGTTCAAAAATTTAAATTCCATTAAAAACTCTGGTTGCCATGGCAACCATTAAGAAAAACTTAAAAAATCTTCTTCTAAAAAACCGTAAGAGCTAGAGCTTAGATATTTGGCATGAAACATCTTCTAATGAGTGCCTACCAAGTTTGTTCAAATCAAAGCCCTGGGGTCAAAATTGGCCCCGCCCCAGGGGGTCATTGATTTTCCCTATATGCATATAGTAAAAACTTAAAAAATCTTCTTTTAAAGAACTCAAAGAGCTAGAGCTAAGATATTTAGCATGAAACATGTTCTAATGGGTGTCTACCAAGTTTGTTCAAATAAAAGCCCTGGGGTCAAAATTGGCTCCGCCCCGGGGGTCATTGATTTTCCTTATATGTTTATAGCAAAAACTTAAAAAAATCTTCTTTGAAAAAACCTAAATAGCTGGAGTTTAGCTATTAAGCATGAAACATCTTCTAGTGAGTGTCTACAAAGTTTGTTCAAATCAAAGCCCTAGGGTCAAAATTGGCCCCGCCCCGGGGGTCATTGATTTTCCTTATATGACTGTGTATAGCAAAAACTTAAAAATCTTCTTTGAAAAAACCCAGATAGCTAGTGTTTAGATATAAAGCATGAAACATCTTCTAGTGAGTGTCTAATAAGTTTGTTCAAATAAAAGCCCTAGGGTCAAAATTGGCCCCGCCCCAGGGTGTCTTTGATTTTCCCTATATGCATATAGTTAAAACTTAAAAAATCTTCTTTTAAAGAACCCAAAGAGCTAGAGCTAAGATATTTAGCATGAAACATCTTCTAATGAGTGTCTACAAAGTTTGTTCAAATAAAAGCCCTAGGGTCAAAATTGGCCCCGCCCCCGGGGGTCATTGATTTTCTCTATGTGCATATAGTAAAAACTTAAAAAATCTTCTCTTAAAGAACTCAAAGAGCTAGAGCTAAGATATTTAGCATGAAACATGTTCTCATGGGTGTCTACCAAGTTTGTTCAAATAAAAGCCCTGGGGTCAAAATTGGCCCCGCCCCGGGGGTCATTCATTAGCTTGACTTTTTTTTTTTAGATATATACATATTATATATATACACATATATATTTAATATTTATATATATATATATATATATATAAATATATATATATATATATATATAAATGTATATATATATATATATATATATACAACCAAGTTTGTTCAAATAAAAGCCCTGGGGTTTAAACTGGCCCCGCTCCAGGGGCCTATATACAGGTGAGCGACTTTGGGCCATCATGGCCCTCTTGTTTAAATAATTCAGTATGTTTTGTATCAACATAATTATATGATAGATATTTATTTGGGATTAGATTAATGTTCTTTTATTAGCATAATAAATATTTAGCTTAATACTGGAATGCTAAGCCTCATGTTGATTTGATATTATGATTGGTTTATGCAAAAGTTATTTTAGTTTGATTGTGCAGGTTGCTTTAAGCTTATAGATTCACTCTTGAATCCATTCCTGGAACCAATGATACTGAACAATGACTCACCCTAAATGGGGTTTGAACCCGCATAGAAGCCACATAGTTTCATTTAGTCTGTTTTGCAATTATTTTGTTTATTTTTCCATAGTTTGTGACAGTTAAGAGACCAAAACAACACATCTTTCTAGGCGTATACTTTGAATTTAAGGATTATTTTCTCAACTTTCTATGATCTTTAATAAGTTGAATGTTGAAAGATTTTAGAAAAAAATGGCATATGATTGACAGCATTTTTTTTGTCCATAGAAAACACATGGAATGTCTTTGTTAGAACTAGTGATGTAAAGAATGCAGGAACTGACGCAAATGTTGGTATTTGTCTCTACGGCAAGAAAGGTAAATCGGAGGAAATCATCCTTGACAACAAGGGAGATAATTTTGAGCAAGGTCAAATGGATCATTTTAAAGTGAATATAGAGGAAGTTGGAACACCATATAAACTGAGAGTGTACCATGACAACAGTGGGCGAGCTGCCGGCTGGCATTTAGAAAAGGTATCCAAATCATATTCATTATTTTTCTATTTGAAGATTGTGACATTATGAATTTCACCATCAATGAAGGTCCATCACATTATGCAGCAGAAGTCATTATAAATTAATGAAAACTATTAAAAAACATAAAAAAGGGAAAAAAAGTCAAACTCCACTTATCAACTGTTATATTTTCACTTGTTACAACAAAATTACATTTGGTATTCACTCAGTGAAATATATTTCAATTTTTCAATGAAATGTCCTCTATTTCAATTTACCAGTTACAATAATGAAATAATATCTGTAAAGGCCATCAGGTATCATTTTATAACATAAAAAGCATTCCATATATCTTTTTAGTAAAAGATTTAGTCCCCATTTCAAGAGACTTTCTTAATTTTTTACTTTGAAATTTTCAGATTGAAATGGAAAATTTGGGTACCGGTGACAAGTACTCATTTCCTTGTAACCGTTGGCTGGCTGATGATGAAGATGATCGAAGCATCGTCCGTGAAATTCCGGCCAAAGGTCCCGGCATCAAAAATCCTCTGCCATGTAAGTAGATTGATTTTGAAAAATCTGGCCAAAGGTCCTGGCCTTAAACAAACTTTTATGCAAGAAGATTGGCTGTGAAAATTCATACCAAAGATCCCGTCCTTGAAAACTCCATTTCCTTTGTCTGTGACCAGTCTCTGTACTTTTGGATAAGTGATTTGTTATCTTCATCTTTATATCTTCAACATTAATAATGGACAGTTCCAAAACTTAAAGCTGGACAAATTTAGTAATTAGTTAAAGCATTAACAAATGAGTTTTCTTTTATTCAACTCCTGCAGCATAAAAGAAAATAACTGAATGGACAGCAGATTTCACATGTTGGAACTTCTTTCTAAAATCCCAATGTATTTGATCAATAACTTGTTTGTAGCGCCAGTTTGAGTTGATATTAAATGATTGTTGTTATTTGTTATGTTTACATGACATGTTTATTGTTATGTTTTACATGGCATGTTTATTGCAAGCATTCTCGAGCACAAAGATAATGTTACCAATATCACTCACTTACATCAGTCCAGCTGTTTGTGATTGTTTTTTATTTGTAAGTTTAACCAGTAAAATTAATTTAAGTCATTACATGCAAGTGATTGCCTGTAAGCTGTATCCAGTTGCGATTGACTAGATATTAAGAACTCATATCTATAATAAAACTTACATTTAAAAAAACTGTATAAATATTCCTTATGGGTAAATTGGTTTTTTTTTTCTTTTTAAGTTTTTTTTATTTTTTTTCTAGTTTGCTTGAAATAATATTGAAAGTTCAACAAACTTCATGTTTTATATATTTCTAGAACATAATTACTTCACCTGTTAGGATAATTCCCACAATTTCATATCAATTTATTTGATAAAGTTGGTAATAAAAGCATAATTATTCAAGTTTTCATAAAATGGTAAATGAATGAAAATTGGGTCAGAAAGCCTCAAGTTAAATTATTTTAATGATATTACACTTTTAAAAGTTTATTGACTCATGACCGGAATTTTCATTTGATTCTGAATTGTCTTAATGTACCAAATTTGGCTTTCTTTGAGTAAAAGTGAGCACTTATGTAAGTAAGGCTTGTCTGAGTATCAGGTACATTGGTGCTGTATTTGTCACATATTATAATATCTATAAAAGGAAACTTGTTGATTGATTGGTAGCATCTGATTGATTGATTGATTGATTGATTTGTTGGTTGGTTGATTGGTAATCTCTGGGTTCTGAAATAATTGGTAATGTCTGACTTGTTAGTTGATTGGTTACCTGATTGATTGGTAATCTCAGGTTTCTAGGTTGATTAATAATGGTAACCACTTGATGTAATTTCTATAAAGTATTTTCTTGATATATATTTCAGTGGATAAGTACATTGTGCAGGTGTATACCGGCTCTAGGAGCATGGCTGGGACAGACGCCAATGTATACATCAATGTTTTCGGGGAGAGGGGAGACACCGGGGTCAGGGCGCTCAGGAAATCTCAAAATATGAACAAGTTTGAAAAAGGAAAGGTTTGTATCTTTTTGATACCTTTCAGCAAGTTCATATAGAGATAAATGCAGCTGCATGAACATTTCATAGCGATATCCTTAACCAAAACCAAATTTGCTTTAAAGGAGCTTGATTCATATGTTTTAAAGGGACTCCACTGAGGTTTTTTGACATAACAGGACTGGGAATATTTTTTATCTAAAAAATGATGAATGGACTTACCCAGATTGAATGATAGACAAGTCCATTTACAATACTTAGGATGGTAGGATTTTAATATTCAAGCGCTGCATAGATATGTGCAAGCTGGCATGGCTCTACACTATTTGCATAATATAAGTGCAAATATCTTTATTCCTTAAGCTTCCAAAATCCAGATTTCTGATAATAATCATAAATAACTGGTGATATAATTAATGTGTGTTTCTGATGCTCAATTAGGATTTAATGAAGTCTTCAATGCATTGTTAATAACAGAATTACTTTTTTTGCGGCTTTTAAAGGTATTTGCCTCTGGGAATTTGCTGTGTTCTCTTGTATGCCTGATTTATGAATTTCAAAAATAAAAGTTCATTTGTTATGTCAATTGGTTATCTTGTTTATTTCAGATATTTTATAAACTTGAATGTTTGCGATACAAGATTCATGCTTATTCTTCTCTTTTTCAGATGGATGAGTTTGAAATTGAGGCCGTATCGGTTCTGAAGCTGACCAAGATTAGAATAGGTCATGATGGGAAGGGGATAGGAGCTGGTTGGTTCCTCGACAAGGTCGTTGTCAAACAGGTCGGGGAGAAGAAATATGACCAAGAATTTGTGTGCCAAAGGTGAATTTTAAATATTTTGATTAGTAATTGAGCTAAACAGCCTTACTATGACCAATAATTTAAACATGTACTGTATTCTTTCCCCCTTGAAATTGAGGGGATTTATCCCCCACAACTGTTTGAAAATGAGTTAATGAATTAATAAAATGTAAAATAGTATAAATGAATACTATAACTAAATTTGAAAATTAAATAACGTATAAATAACGTATAAAAATAAACACACACAACATTAAAAGTAAATGATGAAAATTAATCTCAATATTGAAGACCAAACATCATTTAAAATAAATTTCAAATTTAAAGTGCAAAAAGTTGAGGAGAAAAAAAACAAAAAAAAAAAACAAAAAGGGCAATGAACAGAAGTGAACTTATAAAATGAAATGGGACTGAAAAAAAAAAAAAAAAACAACAACATCAATTACAATTCATGCATGCATGATTTTATTATATTTATGCAAAATAGATTATTTATGCTGATAAATTTAGATAATATGATTGAAGTGTTGTCTGGAGGGAAGATTGTTGTGAAATATGTAAGATATCGTAGTTAAATGTATACTGTGATGATGTTAAACATCTCTCTTTATTATTACATTTATTCTAGCAAAATAATTATGTTCAAAGATAGCGAAATACTTTAACGTATTTTATGTCTGTACTTTTCATTAAACATTTTTTAAACAGTTTTTAGGGTTTCTTACAAAATTTGTAACCTAAATTTGTTTGTGAAACAGATAAGAAAATGCCCTTTAACCCTGTACCTGCTGACCTGGCTCAATACTGTTGGGAATATGGGTTTAAGGTAGTCTTACTCTAATGCTTTCCCCGCCCAAAAAATTCTAACATTGGCCAATATCGTAATTAATCGGTCATTTCCGGATTTTCGGTATTCAACAATTTTTAACCGTTTATAACCGGAATTCAGTACAAAGCGATAAATGATGAGTGGTTGCAAATAATCTAATGCCCAAGATTTTTAAAAATAAATTCTTCCGGAAAAAAACGATTTGCTACGATATTGGCCTATGTTAGAATTTTTTGGCGGAAAATCATTATAGTAAGACTATTTAACATTGATTTCTGCTAATTTAGCATTGATTTCTGCTAAGTTATTCCCCTTTGTGAACTTTTATGGCCCTTGTTTTTACTACCAAATACTGTATTTACTGTAATTTTAAGTTCTTATCTCTTTTTTTCCATAAATTTACTTCCAATATTTTCCTTATTAAATTTCAGGTTGAATGTTTAGATTTACCGAGATAATTTTTTTCATATTTTCGAAAGTCAAGATTTAGTTTGATGGTAAAATACAAGCGTTCAAGTAAACAGAAACATTATTGTTAATATACATTTTTTTTTTTAGTTTTTTTTGGTATGAGCACTTTTATTGATACTAATCAATGTGAGGAACATTTTTGAAATGTGTGGGCTTATCAGTACCTGGTAGATCAATGTGGCCTACTGTGATCACAACGCTGCAAAATAAATTAGCGAGATATCACGTAACTTACAGATTCCAAAATTCTCCGCTACTGAACATATCTTCTCTTGAATTGGCTAGACTCAATGTAGACTTGATGTAGTCTAGATGTAAGATGATTGAAAAATAATGATAACTTTGTAAGTGTAATAGTATCTATAATATCTCATATACCTGGATGATGATAGCGATACTTACCTTACGGTACTTACGTTAACTTCAGTATTTCACACTTATTTTGCACTTGCTGTCCTAGTGGTTTGTGGGATATGGGTTAAGTGTTAATAAATAGCTTCCATTATATGACTTCCGACTGCCGTTCAAGGTCAAACTATAAAAAATGTAAAGATTATGAGGTTCTTATAATTAACTCCAACAACAGAGAGAAAATGGTGTAAGAATTTACATATAGGTGCTTAATTAAAAAGGGGTGATATATTTTTTTCACACTTGACTCGCAAACATTAATTTTGTGTCTATATGAAAAGTTATTCTTAACATTTTTTGCTTTGCCTACTTACCAATACTGCTATTCTTTCCCTACTTACCAGTACTGCTATTATATGGGAAAAAAAGACTTGTACTGGATTTCAACTGATTTTTGGAATTGCTTGTTGTCATGCATTAGGTATGAGGTCATGACTAACTTGAACACATGAGTCCTAATGGTAGACACCTGGCCTTGAGGTTATAAAACTTTTTACAGAACTCTGGATTTCAATTGGTCAGTTTGCAATCTGTGCTGGCTTCTGACCAATCAAATACCTGAGATAAGAGTTTGAGAAAATACATTTTTATAAAACTTCAGACCAAGATCTTTCTGTTCCCTCTCTGAGTGTTATAGTTTCATGTATGAAATAGATAGCCTAAAAGTTTAAATTTGTTTAATAACTTTACAGGCAAAAAGTTTGAGTCAAAAATGATTTTTTTAACCTTTTCCAGGCAAAAAACATATGAACTTGTTACCAAAATTATTGACACTATTCTTTTATAATGTATTTGAAAATGACACCAGGCAAATGAAAACTGAGAAAGTAGGTCTGTCTGGATGTCGGGTGCAAGCCTCTACCCTATATATATAATTAACCTGAAAAAGAAGTAGGCTAAAATGAGGTAGGAATAATTATGAAGATTTAATTACTCTTCAGTGTGGAAACATAAAAAAAGTATAAAGTAGGAGGAGCTGAGCAAATGTAGGAAGGGCAGATCAGGAAGCAACCATCTGTTCTGCACCTAAACTTTGATCTTATTGCTAATAAATTATACATTTAATTAAAGATAAAGATAAATCACTGTAAATATAATGTGATATGTATGTTTAATATCTATTTTACTTGTTATCACCCAAGATTTGAGGTGAATATGAGAGATATATATCCATTAATTGGTGTTTAAATGCAGTTAGCAAGGATGTAGGTATGAAGAATTGAACCCAGGGCTTGATTCCCACCCAGAAAGATGTAAATTAAGGTGTATATGATTAAAAATTCAATTTAGTACCTTAAAGGTACACTATTGTATAATGAATTTTGATAAAAGAGATAGATAGAACAGTCTAGGCAATATATGAAATACATCTGGCTATTAAAGCATTATCAAGTTCTATGTGAATATCATGTGGGTAGTTAATTTAAAGCCAAAACATACGGTACGGCTAAAGGTAAAGTGAACTTTAATTGCTTTTAGATTTTAGGTACATAGCACATTGGCCAACTTTACAGCATTTATTCATCGTCATTAAGCTGGATGTTTTATTTTCAATTTAATTGAATTCATAAGGTCAAATTAATTTTCCAGTTGGAATCAAAAAGCTTTGAAGTCAAGAGGTCACGGGGTTTAGTCCTATGTGAGGGAGACTGCCTATTCTCTTCAGCAAGACAACTACTCGAAAATTGAAAAAATAGTGGTATCAGTATTAAATATTTGATTTTTTTCCAGATGGCTTGCTGAAGATCAAGATGACGGGTTGATAGAAAGGGAGATTACTGCATCAGGTGCTCAGATGCTTTCAAGTGAGTTACTTCCCTTTATTGCCTATGTCTTTCTGCATATATTCTAAAAACTCTCAAATATTTAACATCCTGAAATGCACACTTGGCATATTCCTGTAGATACAAATGTAAAAGACACATTATTTTGTTTGTATGAAGTTACATATATATTTTATAGAATATCTGATGCATTTACCTTGTAGAGTACTTGCAGCTACTGAATCTACCCAACATTTTTGTATGGATTGTAAATGTCATGTGTGTCAATATGTTCTAATGTGAGAAAATAGAATATGTTTAAACCAATCTACTGCCAGTGTAGTTCAAAATTAGTTAATCATTTAGGAAATAAGAAAAATATTTTTGTTTTAGTCTCTGCAATTATTGAAAATATTCACTTGAAAATTCACACTTGTTTAGGGGTCATGATTGTTTGCAGCCGACCACGACCAGTATCCAATGGATCCAGCATTTATATTAACTGAATTATCCCCCTTTTGCAGTCTCAAAATGTTACTCTTGCTTTTTCTCAAGTACTTGAACATTGTTGAGCATGATGTCCTATGCAAGGCCTTGTTATCTATATAAATATAACTACATGTATTCTATGTATGTATGTGACAGGGTTTACTTGACCCCAGAATCAGTGTTCTTGTTTTATCCATAATATTATAAACTATTTCTTTTTGTTTCCATGACAACAGGTAATTGTAAGTGTACTTTAAAGATGCATGTCATCTTGTTTTATATGCTTAAAGCAGGGCTGAAATTTTATTTCTAAAACATGCTTAAGAACATCAATATTAAGGTAATTTTGTTCACCGTCATATTAGAGCCTGTACCAGAAGGCTTTAAGGTCTTAAAACCATTAAATTTGATATTGGCTGAGTGTAGATAGAAGGCAATTAGGTTTGCAGAACATCAGATTTGATCTGTGCAGATGGCACTTTGGTTTATAGACTATCCAATTTGATCTGTGCAGATGACAATTGGATGATAGACTATCAAATTTAATCTGTGCAGATGACAATTGGTTTTTAGACCATCAAATTTAATCTGTACCAAAGGTATTCAGTCTTAGATCAAATATCAGACCTTTGGTGAGACATAAAGGCTTTTAATTAGACCACAACATATCTACTAAAACCATAAAGGTCATTTGACCATGGATCCCTAAGTACAAGTCTAAGCAAATAAAAAAAAAAACAGTTATGAATTTAATTTTGCAAAGCTTGCTTGATTGTGAGTAGATAGAAGATACTGTGCCATTTAACCCCCCCTCTCCCCTTTTAAGGACCTGTCCTCAAAGTTTTATGTTAATGAATAGATGTCTTCCTTCCATTCCTTCCACTATAATGCAGTTTCTGAACCAGAAATTGCTATTCCTCTTCATGAAACATTATTTTGGGCTAGTCTGTGATGGGTCTTTTTTTTTCATCCAAGGTGCAAAATTTGATAAAGTCAAATTATAATTCATGCAATTATTGGCTTACACGGTCTGTAAGCACAAGTCTGTTTGTCTGATTGTTTCATACCAAGCTGATTACAAGCATATTTAGAGGAACCTTTTTACAAAACAAATGGTCTTTAACTCATGTATTTGCCATTTTATCCATGATAAATTCTGGAATTATTGTGAAATATAATTGTACTACCATTTAGGTTATAAATAAGACAAAAATCAAGACCCATTCTTCAACTGGAACTATTCTATTGGCTATTATCAAATATGAAATTAAAGTGAGATGCCTGAGTTTAGGACTGGTTCTCAAAAATCTTAACTTTTTTGTCAAACCTTGGGCAGTAATTGCTTATTATGTTAAGATATAGACGCCTACACCTTAACCTGCAAATTAAATGTGCAATATATTGTCCCAGTGCTTTGAGTTTGTTTTGGACCAGTCAATTCAAAATTTGAACCACCTGGAGTATGGAGCTTGGCCAGACTGCATTGGTGTGTTGGTTGACTGGGCTCTATACCGGTGGCAAAGACGGATTGCTTTTAATCCCAGCAGGTTAAAAGCCTAACGTTTTTAATTTTTGTGAAAGCTGTAGAGTAGAATATTAGTTGTACTTAATCTGTAGCACTAAGTTAAATGATTTTGCTTCCAGGCAGATTTAGTGGAGTTTGGCCTTACATTGTACCTGAGTACCACCTTTTTTTTTACCTTGGTTGAAAGCTGTATGTTATTTTATATCATAAAATTAATGCATGAATAAATTGTGCATGGGCATGGCTGTAGTACAATTAATTTTCAGCAAAACTTAATCTTAAATAAAGATTTAAAACTGTGTTTTACATTAGATACAAAAATGTTCATTTGAAGATAGAAATGTAATAACAGTTGAAACCAAAATTAACCAGTATAGAGCCTTTGCAGCTTGCACAATGTCATCCATGCAGTCTATCCAGGCTCTATACTGTTGGCAACTTGTTAATGAAATACCTTAAATATTGAATTGATAGTACAAGCGTTTCAAATTCAAATGGTTAATTCATTGCATGTACATAAATTCACACAATGTTAAAGGTTGATATGTATGAAATAAGTTTTCACCATATTTTTACCCTATTACTTACAGAGTAAGACCTTCTTTTTCATAATTTAATGTTTTAGATAGGTGTTTATTATCGTTATTTTGGATAGTAATTGACTTAGGCTGAACCCGTGAAATTGTTTTCTTTGACTTCTTTTTCACAGAATAAAACAATTTCTAAATTTTCATTAAAATTAGCATGAATTTTGAGGCACGTTAATTTAAATAACAACATATTTATACTTTCTATCCATATATTTCTTATAGCTACCTCATATCATATTCACGTTAAAACGGGAGATGTTTCCGGTGCCGGTACCGATGCCAATGTCTATCTGATAATCTATGGAGCGAAGGGCGACACAGGTCAGCTGATGTTGAGACAGTCAGCAAGCTTCAAAAACAAGTTTGAGCGAGGAAAAACTGACGTGTTCAAAATAGAGGCGACAGATATCGGACAGGTAGGAGATAATGTGTTAAAGAACAAGGCAGATATGAAATTTTGTATTGTTTTAACATAGTTGTCATAGATACATTAGACAGGTATGACATATTTCATCTTGTTTATAACTCGGACCGAAAATATATGTCATTTGAAGAATTTATTGTATTCATTCTGATTTCCTGAATTTATTTGTTACTCCCACATAACTCATTTTTGAAAAAGTATAATTCCGAGTAATTTTTTCCTGCTACATTTTCATAGTATTTTTTATGCCACCGCAGCATCTGCGATGCGGTGGCATATAGTGATTCACCTGTGTGTGTGTGCGTGTGTTTGTGTGTGTGTTTGTGTGTGTGTTATATAGATTATATAGTGAACTTAAAAAAAATCTTCTTGTGAAAAACCACGAGTCCAATTTCAACCAAACTTGGCAGGATTGTTCCTTGGGTGAAGGGCTTCCAAAGATGTTCAAAGAATTTAATTCCATGCAGAAATCTGGTTGCCATGGCAACCAAAAGGAATTATAATAATAAATTTAAAAAATCTTCTTGTAAAGACCCAAAAGGCCTAGAGCTTAGATATTTTGCATAAGGCATTGTCTGGTAGACCTCTAACAAGATTGTTCAAATTATAGCCCTGGGGTCAAAATTGGCCCCGCCCCGGGGGTCATTGATTTTCACTATGTACATATAGTAAAAACTTAAAATACCTTCTTGTAAAAACCCAAAAGGCCTAGAGCTTAGATATTTTGCATAAGGCATCGTCTGGTAGACCCTTACCAAGATTGTTCAAATTATAGCCCTGGGGTCAAAATCGGCCCGCCCCGGGGGTCTTTGGTTTTCCTTATATGTATATAGTAAAAACTTATAGTAAAAACTTCAAAAAAAATTCTTCTAGCAATTGACAAATGCTAGAGGTTAGATATTTTGCATGAAACATTGTGTAGTAAACCTCTAGCAAGATTGTTCAAATTATAGTCCTAGGGTTAAAATTGCCCCCGCCCTTGGGGTCATTGATTTCAATATATACATATAGTAAAAAATAAATAAATCTTATTGTCTGAAGGTACAAGACTTAGAGCTTTAATATTTGTTAAATAATATCATCTAAAGGTACTCTACAAAAGTTATTCAAATTTTGCCTCTTTTGTCAAAATTAGCCCCGCCCCCGATGGCCATAGGTTTTCCTTATATATATATAGTAAAAACTTAAAAAATTATCTTCTCTAAATTTACAAAGGCTAGAGTTAAGATATTTTGCATGAAACATTGTGTAGTGAACCTCTTGCAAGATTGTTCAAATTATAGCCCTGGGGTCAAAATTGGTTCCGCCCCGGGGGTCATTGATTTTCATTATGTACATATAGTGAAAAAATAAAAAGTATTTTTGTCTGAAGGTACAAGGCATCTATAGAGCTTTGATGTTTGATATATAATATCATTTATAGGTCCTCTACCAAAGTTGATCAAAATTTTCCCCTGGTGTCAAAATTGGCCCTGCCCGGGGGCAGTGATTCTCATTATGTACACATAGTAAAAACAGAAAATAAAACAAATGTTTTCTGAATGGGAGAAAGCTACAGCTTAGATATTTAACTTGAAATGTTGTTTGGTGGACCTGTATCAAAATTGTTTTGAATTAAACCCTTGGGTCAAAATTATGCCTTGCCCAAGGGGACAGTGACCTACTTTCTTGTCCTTTGATGTACAGCAATGACATTTTGACCATGTGCATAGTTTTAGTTGTAAAATTGAACTTTGATATCAGGTGACCTAGATTTTGATGATGTGACCTACTTTCTTGTCCTTTGATGTACAGCTATGAAATTTGAACCATGCGGTGGCATAGCATTTTTCTCAAATGCAATCTTGTTTTAAATATGGTATTTTTTGTACAAAACTTGAGAAATCTTAGGAAATATGTTTAGTGTTGAACCCTATATGTTTTCTTGTTGGAATCATGTTGAATACATGTACGATTATGTTACAGATAAAACGTATAAAGGTCGGACATGATGGTACCAATCTAGGTGATGGCTGGTTCCTGGATATGGTGAAGATACTGGTTCCCTCTCGTGGCGAACAGTATGTATTTGCTTGTCACAGATGGCTTGCCAAGGACGAAGCAGACGGATTGCTGGAAGTTGAAATGGACGCTTCATATAAAGAGGATATGGAAAAAAGTAAATATTATTTTTGTTTGTATGATAATTCTATGTCTAATTTTATAAATGTGAAATATGCACATAAAAATCAGTATCTTTAAAATTGAAATAGCAACCGAAATAAATCAGTTTGGTAAATGGTTTAAATTTTATTTCTGATTTTAGCTATTCCATATGAAGTTACCCTATGGACAGGTAATAAATCTGGAGCAGGAACCGATGCTAATGTTTTCGTACAGATATATGGTACCGAGGGCAAAACTGAATCGTATAATCTGCGAAATAAAACTGATAACTTTGAAAAAGGAATGTGTGATAAATTTAAGGTAAGTTGCTCATTATTCATCCAGCATTTTTAGGGGTGGTTCAGGGTTGGAAAAAGATAGTGGATTTTTAGTAAACCAACTCCATAAAAATTATTGGTGAATTTTTTTGTTTTACTGGTGAAGATAGATTTTAGATGTGGATTAGTTCAGGAAAAAAACAAAACATTTTGATAATAAATTATACTAATTTAAGTCAGAATATTTTGTAAAGTAATGCATTCGTTTTCAGTGTACATAAAGTAATGCATTCGTTTTCAGTGTACATAAAGTAATGTATTCAGTTTTCAGTGTACATAAAGTAATGCATTCTGTTTTCAGTGTACATAAAGTAATGCATTCGTTTTCAGTGTACATAAAGTAATGCATTCAGTTTTCAGTGTACATAAAGTAATGCATTCCATTTTCAGTGAATGTAAAGTAATGCATTCCATTGTCAGTGTATGTAAAGCAATGCATTCCGTTTTCAGTGTCTTTAAAGTAACGCATTTCATTTTCAGTGTACGTAAAAAAAAATGCATTCTTGAGAGAATAATTTTTATTAAACAGTGATTCAAGAGGTAGAACTATATATATATAATGGAACTTTGTTATTCTAACAGATTGAGGCTGCTGATGTAGGTAGGATTCAGAAGGTGCGAATTGGTCATGATGGTACGGGAACATTTTCAGGCTGGTACATGGATAAAGTAAGATATCATTATCTGCTTTTGAAATAGTAAAACGGGGGAGTTTTATTTGAATGGGGGAGGGGAGAGGGCAGAAATAGAGGTAGGGTGTTACAAAATATTTTATTAAAGGAAACTGCATAGTAAAAGCCATGTTTTGGTTCTATATTTTGCTTATTTATAGGTCTTTGTTTAAAACAAGAAATTACACAAAATATAATTACTATTTAATCAAAATTAATTGAAATTAAAAGACAATGTACAGATGTATATTGAAAGAATTTAATTATAATAGTTATATTGAGTATTATAATAGTTATATTTCATACTCAATTTTCTTTTGTCAGATGCTCATTCAAAGAAAGCCACGTAAGGGCACAAAGAAGAAACGCAGACGTTCAATCTCATCTGCCCGTGACAGGGACCGAGATAGGCGTTCACCTCTTATGTCACGCATGGGTGACTTCTCAGATTCTGACGATTCTGACATCAGCAGTGTATCTCAGTCGAGACGTCGTAGGACGAAATCCCCAAAACTTCCGAAGAAGAATCTGAAGACGGTAGGTAGATTACTTTAATTTCATGGTTTTCATAAAAAAACTTTGGTTTACATCGTATGCTTGATGCCCATGCTGCATTAAGCTAACAATGTTCCGACTATGACTGTGATATAAAGTAGGTCATAATTATGTATTACAGGTGGAGGAGGAGTCTGATGAATATGACGGTACGGAGACAGAAGATTATTGGTTTCTTGTTGATCGATGGTTCGCTCGCAGCGAAGATGATAAACAGATTGTTCGAGAGCTTATACCAACTGATGAAAAGGGGCGTCCAATCAAGGGTGGTCTCGAAGGTACATTAATTTGCTTAAAATCAGATGGAATATAGATGTGAAAATATTTTTCTTGAAAAACAAAATGCAAAGTTATAATAAATTCTTATATTAAATGATGTAAACATCAATTCTTATTATAGATTCTAATAACTTTGTCTTCTTGAGCCACCATTTTATTGCAAGTCGTCTATCCAAATTACTGTTTTTATTCCTATTCTGTTAATTTCACTGTTGTGACGAAACATCTTGTTGTAATGGCCCATGTTAAATTGTATGTAATTTTTGGACAAGAATTAAATTCATTTTCTATTTATTCAAAGTACAATTTAGGTAACATAAAGATTTTATTATATATTTATTTGCAGAGGTAAATTACACTGTGCGTGTTTTTACTGGAGATGAATTTGGAGCTGGAACAGATGCCAACGTATTTATTAACCTTTATGGCGATGTAGGAGACACTGGTGAAAGGCAGCTCAAGGACTCTTCAACAAATACCAATAAGTTTGAGCGCAAACAGGTAAAAATAAAATCTTTTCACTCTTTCCATTTGGTATTTTTGTGGATTTTGATAATGTGGTTCAATTTGAGTGTTTGAGGTTGATTAATTAATTTTTTATGTTGAAAATACATGAAAATTTTTTATTGACAATTTTTATTCATGTGAGTTTTTGTTTAGTGTATGTTTTTATGTATATACATGTAGGCCTATGTTAATGATTTGGGATATAAAAAAATTGTGATTATAACTGAACAATTCTTTGATGTGATATCAATGTTATTAACTGTTTTAGTGTCAGAGACTCCAAAGGTCATATGCCTACCTTTAATGACACTTTGACCTTCAAAAGGTCAAAGGTTATGACCTTAACCTCTCAGCTAAGAAGTTAATATTGAGCAATATATAAGTAATCTCAATCTCCAAGGTTTTATCTAAGCTAGCCTCAGTTGCAGAAAGGTTATTAGGTTGCAGACTGTTACCCATGGAAGAGACTTTGGATTCTTTCATGTGAGGATGCTCCCAACTACTTGTATCTTATTGAAGGTTAATGGTTCTACTTGGGTGGCCACTTGTGCCTAAAATTATGCAAGGAGGGGCACCTTAGGCTGTAACCTCCAAAATGAAAGCTTTGCAGTTGTCATTTGACCTTGACATTGTTGGAGTGACATAAACACAATCAAAACATCCATCTGAAATGTGGAGTAATAAATAACTATTGACTGATTTATTAAAATTCTTAACAAAAGATTTTTTAATCTAATATATTATAGACTCAGAAAAATTCAGATCACTTTTATTTCTGCTTTCAAACATGATTGTATAACAATGTGAATGTATATTTATTGGCCAAAGATTTTAAGAGCTTTCAGTTTTTGTTCATTGCCATGTACAATACAGTGTTTTTACTGGCTGCAGAATACATGTAATATATGGGCTATATACTTATATTTACTTTTTGCAAAAAGGCAAATTATGTGTGCTTTAAGAAAAATAGAAATTATACCTTTTTTTTAATGAGAAGTTTTGGCTGCAGCGGGTTAAATTCTAAGGCATGGTACTGCTTTTCAAGTTGATTTCTTTTTTTCATGCAATGGTTAATGATAAAATAAATAATTGTTTTTTTTTTATTTACTAAGTGTTAGCTTACACTCAATTTTTAACCTTTCAAGTTGATTTTTGTTTTAGAATCGTCTTGTGATATTGCTACTTATTATTTACCCTATGACCTTTGTCCCTGACATAACACTAATTTTATTTCTTTCCCTCTACAAAGGATTCTAATTCTAATATGTTTGAAAGAAATCAGGTATTTTATGCATGTTTCCTTTCGTGTGTTGTCAAGTGGTAACATTAATCACCCATCCTTACATCTAACCTGAACCAAAGGTCATCAAACATGATTCTGTAGACCAGTCTTAGAGTTAAAACATTCTGATTGGTCAAATTCAAATTTGAGATTTAAATCAACCAATCAGAAGCCATTAATACTATTTGACTGGTCTTCAGCCTCAAGTTTTGTCTATCTTTGGCTTTATTATTTGTTTTAACCAACATGTCTTGAAGTTATCAACATTTCCATACTAAATATCAACATTTAGGAATGTATCAAAATCTAAAAAGCATTAACAAAATTATTTAATTATATATGCATGAGCTGGGATTGGTTAATAATCGCATATGATATGTTGTCAGTAAAAGAATGACTTAGGTTTTGCACATTTTTAACACATATATAGTATATAAATTCTCAGCATCAAATACACATATTCACATGAAGGTGAATCCATTGCATGTGATATAAAGTAATGCTTTATTCTTAAATTGAAGGCATGTTCCATGATTTCATTAGTACGGTATAATTGTAGGACATACATTATTTTACAAGCTTGTACTGTGGGTGCATTTTGTGATATATATATATGTTATGAGTTATTCCTGCTAGATTTTTTGTTTAAATGCTTGTAGATATTTGTACAAATGTTGACCTGATTCTACAAAAAAATAAACTATGTAAATTGTAAAATTAGTTAAGAATGGGGAAATTGTGCATGCGACAGTGACTTAGATGTGTATGTATTTGTGGATGATTTTGTTTAAATCAGCATTGGCATGAATGACATTTGTTTAATAAAAAGTTTAAGTGGTGAATTACTTTATTGTTCCCTTTTAGTTTGTTTTCTTCTAGTTATGTTTGCATTATATAGTAGATGCACGGTGGTTTGTTAAAATAAACAAATATGATTTATTTTGAGCATCAGCAATGATAATATAACTGGCCTATGCTATTATAGAGCCAGACCAGCTTTACACCACCTGTATAGAGGTCAATTAGCCTAATACCACCTGGTTAATGTCAGGAAGCCTTATTCCACAGTTAAAATAGGCCAGGCCAGCATAATTACCACTAGCATAGGACCGGGCCAGCCTTATACCACCAGCATAGCCTGTTTCCAGTTTTTGGTCTAGCCTAAGTTACCCTGACTTTCACGCATGTTCCTTGTCTTCAATGACAGAAGATGCTGGCGTTATTTACTAATTATATAGAAATTTTATACTAGTCTTGCTGTTGATTCAGGATTACTTGAAATAATGATTTTGAATGAATATTTTATAATACGTATATTTACAACTATATGAGTGGTGTAACATTTCACAATTACCAGGTTTATTGAGCCTTCATCACATTACACAAATGTGTGAAGTTTTAATTTCTCACTAAAGTTACTGCAAAATCATTTATTTTTAATTCATGATTACTTCGTTGCCTGTTTAATGTTATTGTTTTGAAATGGGCCTCTCCAAAATTTTTGTATTTTGATATTGAAATCTGGAATGATCCAATATCAAAGAAGGGCAAATCCATTTCAGCATGTTAAGGGTTAATATGATGTTATATGTAGAAGGTTATGTAATATAATTGTACATGTATAAACATTTTGAGAATATGAGGTATTTTTTGGTACTTGATTTTATATGAACAAAAAGTAATTAACATAAATTTATATCAGGCTTGATTGTGAAACTAATACGATGTAAAATGATAAGGTTATTAAATGCTATGATTTAATATTAAACAGGAGGACGTCTTCATTGTGAAAGCTATTGAACTTGGTAAGCTTGTGAAGTTGAAGATTCGACATGATAACGCCGGTGGTGGCGCTGCGTGGTTCCTGGATAGAGTGGAAGTGGACGATCCAAAAACTAAAAAGACGTGAGAATTATTTTGTTGCATTCCATGATTTTTTTTTTAAAACTATGTAATTGATATCAAAATTGATGTGGGAATGTTGATTTGTTATTGAATATTATTTGTACTTTGGTCTTTAGTTTTGATATGCTTATATTTTACTTGTAAGTTATTGCCAGTGATATTCAGCATAACAAGTATTAATTTAGAATGACGGTAGTTTAATAAACAATTTTTTTGGCAACATAATGACTGTGCAATGCGAACTTTCAGATCTCACGAGCTTTGGCATACAAACGAAAAAGACAACACTCAGTCATTGAACTATAAAAGAGATATTGTATTTCAGTTAAATACTATCCTATATAACCAATCATTTGATTTCAGATATTTCTTCCCGTGTCAGCGTTGGTTATCGACGAAGGCAGACGATGGTCAGATAAGCCGGGAACTTGTCCCAGTTGATGCCAGTCTGAAGAGCAAACTGTCGAGACAGGACTCCAAGGCCATACGTAATGAGATTGCCTTGGAAACTAAAGGTTTTACTCTTTCGATTTCTTACATTTATTTTGTCCAATTAGTTCAATGTGAAAGTCAATAACCACTCTTCATGTCTGACCACAAACTATATTGCTCAATTCAGATATTGACATTACATAAAACTAACAATGGATGTTTCAAAAGTCAAACAAGAAAAGGTCATGAGACTATACCTAAAATTGTTCATAATCACTCATTGGGTTAAAGAACAAGTTTAAAAGAAAATGACTTCGAAAACCAGACTTAAGTTTGAAATCCTTGAATTGTTTGTTTTAAGGGTTTTGTTTACTGTTGTTTTTTTTGGGGGGTAGGGGAATTATTGGCATTTTGTTTAGATTTATCATGAAATCTGTCTTCCTATTTTTTGGTCAAAGGTTTCCTCAGGGATTTTTGTTTGTATCATTGTGTTACATTCTAAGCGTTATATTTTTACAGCTGCAATGCAGACATACCATGTAAAGGTGACTACAGGAACAGTGTGGGGTGCAGGAACTGATGCCAATGTTCATATTGTTCTATATGGAGAAAATGATGATACAGGTATGATCCTTTACTTGAAACTTATTAATTTAATTCAAGGTTTAATAGTGAAGAAAGTTTCAAGCTTATTTTAACCACTTTATGATTCTACTTCTTGAAACTAGCCTGTGTCCAATGTTATAGCTTAAGATCAGATCTCAGGTATTTGTTTGGTTGTTAACCAGCACAGAATGTCCACTTTCCAATGAAAATCACGAGTCTTGAGGTAGAGCTAAGAAAAAAAGTTTTATTTCCTTGTGGCAAGTACTTGTGCCATATGAGAAAACATGGTGGTGACCTCATTAGGGCTCGAAACTGTCATCCCTGGTTGGCAGACACCTTATTCACTAGAAAATGATTATGTATGTCAATATATATAATGGCTTACCTGAGCTACTCATGCTGAATTATGCAAGCCGTTTGTTTAGTTACTTATATCCTAATTTATGTTTATTTTTCAGGTGTTGTTTTACTGAAATCTTCCCGTACACATACTAACAAGTTTGAGAATGGTAACACAGATGAATTCCTGGTAGAAGCTGTAAATATCGGAGATCTGAAGAAAATTAAGTAAGCATATACAGTAATAATTGAGTCATATCAAAGATTTACACAGATTAGTCATTGATAAATTTTTTTGTATTGTCTTCTTATCGACTCTTGATGTGGGGGTTTGATGATAATTTAGTGATGCTCTCGTAATTACTGAAGATCATAATTATGTTAGATATCAAAGTATTAGCTCTCAAGTTGTTAATTGAGGGACTTTAAGGACTGACTGTTCAAAATAGTTGACTTTGGATGCTAACCCTATTTTGTAGGTTGCATTGAAACAGTCTTTGTAATGTAAAACACATTACACATTATACTATTTATTGATTGATGGATATCATTATAGAATTGGACATGACAACAAAGGTGGGGGCGGAGCTTGGTTCCTGGACAATGTGGCCATAGAATGCCCGTCACTGGGTAGAAACTGGAAATTCCCAGCCAACCGATGGCTTGCCAAGAACAAGGGAGATAATCAACTGGAGGTGGAGTTATACCCACAAGATTTAGCCACAGAAGAGTATATCAAATGTAAGATTTTGTGATATAATTCAAGGCTTCATGGCCAGCAATTGTGGTTATTTACAGAATCAACAGAAAAAGGTTTATATTGTTACGATAATGTTCTGAGACATTGTTACATGTAGGAAATTTCATGAATTATTTCCTTGTCATAGGAAGATACAAGACAAGTTTAAAGTTTTATTTACATAGTCAACGCTAATTCCCTCTTTAGTTATTGGAATGGTTTATATCATTTTTTGAAACTTCTGAGATTCAGGCCATCTTTCACATTCACAAGAGAATGACTTGAGTTTATGCAGATAATTAGCAGAGTAATGGTAGCCAGGTCTTTAATAAAAGTATTTAAAAGTGAATTTAACTCTGTTGTTTTACACAAAAAAATTAGAAAGTTAGCTTTAGTATTAACCAGTTTGAGAAAAAAACATTTGATTTGTTATTCAAAAATCACAAAGTGACAAAATACTTTCATAATTATTCTTCTTTATCCTAGAAAATTATGGTCAAATAAATTTGTTTGTATTCAAGTTTTCAAATCATTGTTTTATACATATTATACATTAAGATCATATTAATTTCAGGTATACCATATGAGATTGTTACGCACACGTCTGATATCACCTCAGCGGGGACGTCAGCGAACGTTTATATACAACTATATGGTAAAGAGATCTGTACTCAGCAAAAAGACCTCTGTATCAGTAAACTGGATAGGAAAGATAAATTCAAGAGAGGCTCAGTTGACACCCATGTTTTAGAGGTATGTTGTCCATGTTTTAAAGGTATTTTAGGTATCCAGGAAAGCCAGAGGTGGATCATTTCTAAGATATGACCAAAAATGTGTTAAAATTGGCTCAAAAACCAAAAAAAAAACCAACTTGTGCATGTAAAGAAAACCTGTCACTCGAATCTATAAGTTACTTTTTTTAATTGTACTATATTTGGTGCTCATAAAGACCTTTTTCATTTCTTACAACTCACTGTGTTGATCTTGCTATTTTAATCTTGCTATTTTGATCTTGCTATTTGATCTTGCTATTTTGATCACACTATGTTGATTACTCTATTTTGATCTTGCTATTTTGATCACACTGTTTGAATCACACTACATATATTTTGATTTCAGTTAGAGGATGTAGGTGATACCATTGAGAAGATTCGTATTGGTCATGATAATTCTGGTTTGACCGCTGGATGGCATTTAGACAAGGTCACAATAAGGCGACTGCACGAGTCAGGAAAGGTATGCTTTACCATTTTACATTTATATGACCTAAAACTTTGCACTTTTGCTTTAATTAACTCATAATGAAAATGCATTTTATTTCTTTTTTAGCTCACCTGTCACAAAGTGACAGGGTGAGCTTTTGTGATCGCTTTTCGTCCGGCGTCCGTCCGTCGTCCGTCCGTCCGGCCGTCCGTCCGTCCGTCCGTAAACTTTTGCTTCAAATGACATCTCCTCATAAACCACTAAGCCAATTTCATCCAAACTTCACAGGAATGTTCCTTTGGTGGTCACCTTTAAAAATTGTTCAAAGAATTTAATTCCATGCAGAACTCTGGTTGCCATGGCAACCGAAAGAAAAAACTTTAAATATCTTCTTTTAAAGAACCCAAAGAGCTAGAGCTTAGATATTTGGCATGAAACATCTTCTAGTGAGTGTCTACCAAGTTTGTTCAAATAAAAGCCCTGGGGTCAAAATTGGCCCCGCCCCAGGGGGTCATTGATTTTCCCTATATGCATATAGTAAAAACTTGAAAAATCTTCTTTTAAAGAACCCAAAGAGCTAGAGCTTAGATATTTGGCATGAAACATCTTCTAATGAGTGTCTACCAAGTTTGTTCAAATAAAAGCCCTGGGGTCAAAATTGGCCCCGCCCCAGGGGGTCATTGATTTTCCCTATATGCATATAGTAAAAACTTAAAAAATCTTCTTTTAAAGAACCCAAAGAGCTAGAGCTAAGATATTTAGCATGAAACATGTTCTAATGAGTGTCTACCAAATTTGTTCAAATAAAAGCCCTGGGGTCAAAATTGGCCCGGCACCAGGGGGGTCATTGATTTTCCCTATATGCATATAGTAAAAACTTAAAAATCTTCTTTTAAAGAACTCAAAGAGCTAGAGCTAAGATATTTAGCATGAAACATGTTCTAATGGGTGTCTACTAAGTTTGTTCAAATAAAAGCCCTGGGGTCAAAATTGGCCCCGCCCCGGGGGTCATTGATTTTCCTTATATGTGTATAGCAAAAATTTCAAAAACCTTCTTTGAAAAAATCTCAAATAGCTAGAGTTTAGATATTAAGCATGAAACATCTTCTAGTGAGTGTCTACAAAGTTTGTTCAAATTAAAGCCCTGGGGTCAAAATTGGCCCCGCCCCGGGGGTCATTGATTTCCTTATATGTGTATAGCAAAAACTTAAAAAATCTTCTTTGAAAAAACCCAAATAGCTAGAGTTTAGATATTAAGCATGAAACATCTTCTAATAAGTGTCTACAAAGTTTGTTCAAATAAAAGCCCTGGGGTAAAAACTGGCCCCGCCCCAGGGGTGTCATTGTTTTTAACTATATATGTATAGTAAAAACTTAAAAAATCTTCTTTTAAAAAAAACCCAATGAGCTAGAGCTTAGATGTTTAGCATGAAACATCTTCTTATGGGTGTCTACCAAGTTTGTTCAAATAAAAGCCCTTGGGTTAAAATTAACTCTGCCGGGGGGGGGGGGGGGGTCATTGTTTTTTCTTATATGTGTATAGCAAAAACTTAACATCATGAAACATCTTCTAATTGGTGTCTTAATTCCAAGTTTGTTCAAATAAAAGCCCTGGGGTTTAAACTAGCCAGCTTCGGGGGCCTATATACAGGTGAGCGACCTCAGGGCCATCATGGCCCTCTTGTTGTTAAATTGTTAACTAAAATACACTTTAAAATGCTTGAAACTAAACAGATTACAATAATTATTTAAATTATTTTGCATAGTTTCTAATCTTTGGGGTAATTTGGTTTGGTTTTTTTCATGTGCGTCTTTTGAATTATTTTTATTCCGTATGACATAAGCATGTTTTTGTGAGCGTAAAGAGTTTAGAGTTGTAGCCTGTATTCCATAATTATACTATATTAATGCTATAAAAACAGGGTTCACGTAAGGTTCAGGTGAGTCGAGCATGATTGTATAAAATATGTTCCTTCTAGTGACACAGTGATATATAAATTCCTTCTGTTGTATTGTTTAGTTTACAAATGTCCAAAATTTAACTGTGACAAAATCTTCCTTAAAAACCTTAATTTTTTCTTAAATTGACTTCTAGTAAGCTTAAAAAAGTCTTCCTTAAAACTAAATTAAACTTCTAGTAAGCTTTTAACAGTGATTAAATCTTTATCAAACTTTAGTTTGTTCTTAGACTTAACTTCTTTTAGTCCTTTTTAAACTTTAATTCTTAAAATGGAACTCCTGTCAGGAATTTAACAGTGACAAAAGTCCATCTTAAAAGTGACAAAGTCTTTCTCAAAACTTTAGTACTGCTGTTAGTTTGTTAGTGTCCAAAATTTAATTTGGATTAATTCATTCACTGTCCTTCATTCTAATATTAAGTATGTTGTAAGTGTCCAATATTTAACTTATTTACCTGTTACTAGTTTTATTGTCATTATATTTGTTATTATAAAATTATGTACTACTTTTCTTTTTTACTGTGCATGAAAAACATCATCATTTTATTGTTCAGTTATATTGTCAATTTTTATTTTATAGAAGTCATTTTTTTAGATATGCATGATAAAATTTCCATTTTGCTGAAATTTAAAAAAAAGAAAAGAATTATGTATATTAAGAAGCCTATTCAACCAAGTCAGTCTAGGACTAATTTGCTGCAGTTAAAACTGTTGAATCTTTGAAACAAAATTCTATAAATATATTTAATAAAATTTTTCTTGATACAAATATTTTAGTTTCAAATTACTTACTTATACTCAATTATGAATCAAATTCTTTGCAATTATATATTAATGACTGTGGGTCCTTTTGATTGACAAATGAGTGGCTGCGTGTGAATGTCATAGGAAGAATTATGGTCGTAATTGCTAAGAAGAATCAAATGGTTGAGAGGCTGATTCCTAAACCACTAAACTACTAATTATACGTGTATATATTATTATAAATTACAGGAAACTTTATGTTTAGTTTCTTTCATAAACAGTTGTTACTTTTGTTAGATATACATAAGTTACATAACTATTACTATAGAGAATAGTATTACACTGTATAGATATTTATATATAGCAATTCATGTACATATTCTTGTTTAATGGTAACAGTAGACTAGTATAACTTACAATCACATGAATGTATTTTCTTACTAAATAACCAATTTGTATGACAGATTATAGAAATGTATTGAGGAACTGTTGTCAATGACTATGTAATTTAATAACAGTAACAAGACTGCTGCATAAATGTTCTAAATTTTAATTTTTCACAACACTCATGAAATTTTGAAAAAAGATTTCATTGGTCTATGAGGTATACATGTAATATATTTGAACTTATAATAAACAAATCTATAACAGTGTATCATGGCTTCTGAGCCAACAATAAAATATGAAATACTGTTTTAATAATGATTTTACGAATAATTCATTTCTTACTTTGGAGGCTGCGTTATCACTTTATCAAACATCTTCATTGACAATTTGCTTTAATGTGTTGTATTTTATTACATTAAAGGATGACTTTTATTACGACGATGATCCAGGGGTAATTCTTGTTTATGTGAAGCTTATATATTTTATACTAAATGCTAGGCTGTATATTCATGATCATGTCTCAGGGGCAGTAACTCCACTTAACCCACTTTTATTCCAATTGTCTCCCTTTAAACCCATTTGCATTATTCAAATGAAAACTTATAGAATGAATAACTTGTTTCTATGAAGCTTCAATGCTAGATTATATATGCATTATCATATTTCAGGGGCAGTAATTCTGCAACTTAAACCCATTTGCGTTTTTAAAAAAAAGGACTGTAATAGATAAAAAAACTTAATAAATGATGAAATTTACCCCAGTGTGATAATTATTGTTGTTATTATAATAAGAAATGTGACAAAATTTTATTATATAGTATTTTTTGTTTGTTTATTATTTATATTTTTTTTCTGTTTTGCTTTTACAAGTCAAGATGTTAATTTTAGCCATACTAAGATCCTTAGATGTTAAAACAAAAAAGTTTCATTAAAGAAATATTTTTAATTGCTTTATACCTTTTTGAGAAGCTCAGGCACCCAACCCCTATGCAAAACTCATTTTATCGTTTTCTTGCCAAGCTTTTGCTTTGGAGATGGCAGCAAAATTGTGTGCTATTTGTAATAAATATTTGTTTAGAAATAAAGGGTCCACAATGATTTGAAATGTTTTCAAGCAATTTTGTAAAATTGTATGTGATGATTACAAGCCAATTAAAAAAACAAATAAAAAACAGTCACAAATGACAATGTAAACCTAGATAATTCTTCATTAGTATTTCATAATGTTGGTTGTTTTGAATTATTTTTGAAAATGGTTAATAACTTACGAGTTTGAAGAAGATTTTTGTTATAATTTTAAGAAGCCGCATTTTTTTTATAACATTGCATGAACAAAAAAAACAAACACAGAGAGTCTAAAAATAGAATTTTGACTAGGGCTATATTTTCAGGGTGTATTTAATGTAAGTTTTTTTTTATTCCTTGGGAGATTTGATTTTGGGGTGATGGTGATTTATTAAATTTTAGTTCAATAATATTTTATTGCATATATCAATATACATAATTTTTTCATAAACATTTCTGGGTAGGGCTAAAAGTTTTGGCAACATTATTATGGGCCCTTAGTTAAAAGCATGATTTTGAGACAAAGACTGCAAAAGGAAAATTTATGTAGTAATGTTTTGAAATGAAACTTTAAATAAATATAAGAATGTTCAACATGGGAGATTAATACAATTAATGTATTTTAGGGATCTATCACATATGTTTTCCCGTGCAAGAGATGGCTAGCACGTAACGAGGATGACAGTGCTATAGAGCGGGAACTAGTGGCCGACAAAGCCATACAGGAAGTGATCAAGAACGGAGAAGTGCAGAGTAAAGAGCTCAAGTTACGTGACAAATTAGAAAGTAAGATGTTTTAAAATTATTAATGTTTTAATTATTTCAAATGCTTTGAATATTAAATTGACATACTAGTGGTTGAATGACAATATAAACAATTGCAAAGCAAAACAAGTTGATTACAATAAATCAGGAGAGCTAAATAAAGATTTTTTATTAATTCAGAGAAGATATATACAGTGAATGTGAAGACTGGAGACAAGTCAGGTTGCGGAACTAACGCTAATGTTTTCCTTACAATCGTTGGTGATAAAGGCGATACCGGAGAGAGAAAACTTGCCAAATCAGAAACTAACTTTGACAAGTTTGAGAAAAATCAGGTACAAAATTGATAAAGTCATTTTCAAAAATTTGAAAGAAACTGAAAAATGCCGCAATGAACCTAAAATGGTACAAGGGACATTGTTTGGTGCGCAGAATTTAAAATGTAGTTCTGGTCTCTTCTTTCATACCCTAATGGTGAAATGCTAGGACGGAAATCAAAGAATTGAGAAAGATCGGTTTGTGGTAAAACTTGCTCTACAATTTAACATTATATGAATTAGTACCATTGTATATGTAAGTATAATTATATTGAACTTATGAATGACTTATTTGTTTTATTTTATGTTCATATATTATAGACTGATGTATTCAAGTTGGAAGCAGCAGATCTTGGTAAAATATACAAGATACGTATTCGCCATGACAACTCGGGATTTAGCCCAGCCTGGTATCTCGACTATATCGAGGTTATTGACAACGCAGATAATGATACATACAAATTCCACTGTGAGAGATGGCTAGCCAAAAACAAAGATGATATGAAGATTGAGAGATCTTTCTATGTTAAGGTGGGTACTTTTGTTTTCTTTGGGTTAGTTTTTATGTCAGGTCATTTGAAGGTAGGGTATTTTCAATCATTACTTTGATCACAATAATTACAGGTGCCTTTACAGCAATAAACTAGTACATGTATTATATAATATAAAAAAAAAATAAATTAGGGAGCTTTTAATACTGTTATTTTGCAAGATTATGAATTGTAAAGCATTTGCAATTTGTTCTATAAAGTGTTACGCTATTTTGCAGTAAAAATGACTGTGTTGGATGTCTAATATTGAAAAAGCTATACTGTTCCTGTAAAATGATTTCAAAATTTATTATGTTTTATTCCACAGGGCTTTGATGGTGAGATGTCAAGCACAGGGACATTAAGATCTACAAAATATGGCTCTGTTGCCAGTCTTGATTCACTACGCAGCACAGATCCCTTCTCTAAAAGTCCCAAGTTGTCACGGAAACAACTCTCCATGGAAGATATACCAGAGGGACCAAGTACGTAACACTACTTTCTGTTTTTGTATACTCGTAAGAAATCTTGAGAGTTTATCATATACATGTATGCATGGAAAGTGGTTTGTTGAATATCTATGTATACAAAACAGCGTCCATTTACTACTACTTAAAAATTCTCAGTTCTCTAGAAGTTACATTATCTTCCATCAACCAAAGCTAGTGTTATTTCTTGTTACTGTAGTTTATCTTTTATGTATAATGAGTTTTTATTTTCAAATAATATTACTTTATCTTCATGTTGACATATAACTTTATGTTTATTATGTCTCTTTATGTTTATTATGACATCACTTCATTTTTATGATATCACTTGCAATGTTTTTTGGGATATTACTTTATGCTTTTTATTATATCACTTGATGATTTTTATGATATCACTTTTTGTTTAATCATAATATTACTTAATCTTTATTTTCACACTTTTATCTTTGCTGTGATATCCGTTTTTCTCTATTATGATATGGCTATATATTTATATTACAGCTATACCGTACACTGTAAGGGTAGCAACTGGTGAAGGAGAAGATAACGGAACCTCCAGTAATGTTTGGATCACAATCCTTGGTCCTAGGAAGAAAACTACTGGCCGACTTTATCTCGAACTAGCTCAGAAAAATAAATTTGCTCCAGGGTCAACTGAAATTTTCTCCATCGAGGCAGTTGATATTGATGAAGTGAAGAAAATTGAGGTAAGTTTTTGTCTTGTTTGATAAAAAAAAAATGTTTGAAAAAGTTAGTCAATGGATTTAAAAGACCTAGGGTATGATTAATAGTGTTTTGTTTACAGTGAAGTAAAATTGTAAAAAGGTAGAAAATAGATCCTATTTATTGTACAAAATTGTTGACAGGGCTACGTTAAATTAAGTCTTTAATTATCTAATCAATCAAACAACCAATTGTGAGTTACAGTTTTCTTTTTGATATTTTATTAGGCCAGGGTTGGGTTAGTGTGCTGTGTTTTGTGGGAGTTTAGGGAGTAGGGTTTGATGGGGGTTTTTATGGAATTTTTTTCAGCAGACTAGAAAAACACCTTTTTTGAATAATAAAAAAGATCTGCAATATTCTGAATGACATTAACCTTTAAATTAATAATGTATTTGCATGTTTACCTCAGAAATGATTATATTCCAGGATTATTTTTAATAGCAACTAAGGTTAAATTTAATAGTACCATATCACTTGAGTAAATATTTGTTTCATTTATCTACCAGGTTGGACATGACGGTACAGCACCAGGTTCGGGTTGGTTTGTTAAGCAGATTGAAGTTGATATGCCGACTAAAGGGAAACATTACACATTTGCGTGTAAACAATGGCTGGCTCGAGACAAAGGTGATGGCAAGACCAGTCGAACATTCAGCGTTGATGATGGCATAAGCTCCATGTCATCTTACAAACCAAGTAAGTATAGTGGATATTGGTTTGTTTTTTTAATTCCTGAGTTTTTGGAAATATTTTGAAACCATACCTGTCAACATAAAATGCATCTGTTTCTGATGTATGATTTCAAAAATGAGTAAAAAAATTGATAAAAGCTTGTGATGTATTAAATTCTTACATAGCCTTGTGAATAGAGATAGGAGTGTGACATGTCATAATCTTAACATGATTTCACCTTAACCCCGAGGAAAAATGTTCGCAATTGTCAATCTAGGCTTGTACTTTATTTCATGGTGTTTTATATGCCTATTCTGTGTATTTCAGTGATACCTTATGAGGTCACTGTGTATACGGGAGATGTAGACGAAGCTGGTACCGACCAGAAGATCACGATGACCGTGTTTGGTGAGAAAGGTACGACAACACCGCAAGTACTGGAGAAATCTGGTGACAGGTTCGAGAGAGACAGGGCGGACTTCATCAAGCTGGAACTAGAAGATGTGGCACCTGTGAAAAAGATGAGAATTGAGTGTGATGGTAAAGGTAGCAGGCCAGACTGGTACCTTGAAAAGGTTGGTTTTCAGTGCTATTGTCTCCGGGCAGATTTAGGGTTGATTTTAGAGACAGATTTGGTTGAATCAGGTACAGATTTGGGTTGAATCAGGGACAGCTTTTGGTTGAAACAGGGACAGACTTTGGTTGAATCAGGGACAGATTTCGGTTGAATCAGGGACAGATTGGGTTTGACTCAGGGCAGATTAGGGTTGGATCAGGGACAGATTTGGGTTTGAATCAGGGACAGATTGGGTTTGACTCAGGGCAGATTAGGGTTGGATCAGGGACAGATTTGGGTTGAAACAGGACAGATTTAGGAATGAATCAGTGATAAGGTTTGTGGTTGCTTATATTGTGAGTCAACAATGGGAAATAGAGTGTAATTTATAGCTTATCACATATGCTCTTATGACAGGGTTGAGGTTTTAGTTCAAACTCCCATGAGAAATATAGCTTCTCTCAAAAAGAATGATTCCATAATGTATATTCCACCTTGGTAGACTGTTTAATTTTTACTTTTTAAAAAGTTAAAAGTTGATAGATTATTTTTAACTGTTCAGTTATTGATAAGGTATGGTTTTGTGGTATGAAAATTACCATATTTCAAACAATTGTCTACTGTCCTTTGTGATATATTTATTTTCATACCAATTTATGAAAATAAATCCTGTACTTACTAAAAAAAACTTTAATGTCCTCTGTATAGTGACAATATTCTTTTTTTCAGTTATAATGTGATATTTGTGACTATTTCAGGTTGAGTTACGCAATATGTCTACTGGAGTCTTGTCAGTGTTTGACTGTAAGGGTTGGCTCAGTAAGTCAAAGGGCGTGTTGTCAAGGGATATTCCAGCTAAAGAGGGCAGAAAGGTCATGGTCGAAAGTAAGTGGACACTATTCTTTTAAGCCTCTAAATTTTCTTTTCTGTTTTGGCGCCATATTACCTATACTGTGTTGGTGCACCATGAAAACAAACAAACAAATTAATGCACCAATTCAACTTTTCCACTAAATAAACTTTTCCACTTAAGATAAGATTTTAGTGATTTCATATAAAAAAATAAGTGAACATTATTTATTGGTTTCATGTCGATATTAGTTTTGCACCCGACTATAATAAGCATAGGTCATTTCAGTTCTCTTAACCTATTAACATGAGACCAGAGCAAAATCAATATAATTATAAGGACCATAACTTTTAAATAAGAATAGCAAAAATGATTGGCATTCAGATTTAAGCGTGATCATTTGCAGTGAAAATGCCTTGCCTGTGTCAGTAGTAGAGAGCCCGGTCAGAATGCACTGTTGGACAGTCTTGACTTCACTATTTTTGCTTTTCATATTTTAAAACACCCTTAAATAGCAATATACAATTAACAAATAAGAAGATAAATTTGAAAATAAAGTATAACATATGAATTATAAACTTTCAGAGACTAACTATAAGATAAGTGTGAAGACGTCCAATGTAAAGGGTGCAGGAACCGATGCCAATGTTTTCGTCACATTATTCGGTGATAACGGTGATTCCGGTCCACTTCACCTGAAGAAATCGGAAACAAACAAAAGTCCATTTGAGAATGACCAGAATGATGTGTTTGTATTTAATGATATTCTAAGTCTCGGAGAACTCGCAAAGTGCCGAGTGTGGCACGATAACAAAGGTTTGTATTTAAATATTACATCTCAGTTTGTTTGTTATTGTTTGGTTTTGTGTAAGTTTTCTTTTAATTTATGTTGGGGGATTGAAGGAAATTTTAACAAAATTGTTCACAGTAAATTTTATGTGTCTGGATGATTGTTAGCTGTGGATGCGTAGGTCACATAGGTTTAATAGTCTGTATCGTTTAGAGTGGTCCTAACATAGTTCTTATATTTAATGAAAGATATATCATTGTGCGTTTTTTTGCTTGATAAAACTGATATATATCTTATATTAAAACATAAGATCCATGTTTTAGCGATACTTTGTAAAATATATGGATGAATTTTATGCTCAAAAATTGATCATTACAACAAACACCAAATAGTTGATGAAGATATTGAGGCTAATGCTTTACATGAATAGAGAAATCTGATAGAAATATTGAGTTAACAGTCAAGTATAGAGGGCTTTTAGCACAATGCACAAGGCTCTTATATATACATGCAGAATAAAAAGAAAAAAAAATTGGGTTCATTGCTATTGTGTCACTACTTGTATATTTGCTTATATTGCATGCTATATCTTTGATATTGTCTAGGTTCTATTGCAGGTAAATAAGATAGTATAGATTTTGCATCAATCAACACAATATTTCTTTGCAAATATAGACCCTAATTTTAGATCTTTTGTTCAGAATTTTTATGCACAATGAAAAATCAGTGAGGATTTTGTTATTTAGTCTATATTTATTTTAATAAATCGTAAAAAAAATATCAAAATTACACACATTGTTTCATATTACAAGATAAGTTAATACTCTGATTGCTTATTGATTGAGTTGGAAGCCACACAGACACTACAAAGGTCATGGTAGTGACATTCTTGCTTTATTGATGGATTTAGACATCATTTCAATTGAGCTGGAAAGTCAGTGTCTGTGTCTTAAAATATTACACAAAAAAGAAAGTATTCTTACTTACAAATTACTTATGAGTTAGTAATAGACTCTAATAAAAATGCACTTAAAATACATATATTTAATAATATTACCATCAACTGATATGCACTGCTTTACCCATTCTGCTTTATGGATTATTTTCTTGTTTTCCAATCAAGGTCTCCTAAACCAAGGTAAAATATCAAAAGAGCTTAGCTAGTTTATAAAAGCTTTATATACCCAAAGCAAAAGTTGTCTTGAAAATGCAGAGTTAACAGTTTTCTATTAGAGAAAACATATCTTGAAGCCAGTAAAGAAACCCGAACCGTACCTCCTGATTCTGAATCAACCTTGTCCTTCTGTATGTTAAATCTTCCTTCCACATGGTTGGAACCAATGACCTGACAGTCTGTAAGCTTTCAGAATAACTAAGAATACAACATTGTTAAGAATTTATGTTTCAGAATCTGAATCAAATATATGGTAATAAATAATGCTAAGTTAGAATCAAATATGGCTTGCAGGATTTGAAACAAGTTCAGACTAGTACATTGTAATCTAAAATTTGCTATCTCAACTTTTTTTACAACTAAGGCTGAACCAAACATTCCTTATTGGCAAGTTTGATACTAATACATTGAATTTATTGGCTCTACCTCGAGTTAATTTTTACCTGATTGATTTGTAGAAAGATATCCAATATTTTGTTTGTGTGTGAATAGTGTTTTCAACTTGTCTTAAGTGTGTTTCCTGTCTTGAATTTTATGTTTTGGCTAGTTCATATCCTAAAGGTATGACAATTTGCAGGTGTTAAAAAATATAAACTAAAGCTTTTAGATATCTTAAAATACATGTAGTTCTTTGAATGCAAAATTATAGGAAAAAGATTAAGCACATGAAATATTTGTCAAACTTTCTATGAGATAGATATATAAATATGTTTAGTTTCAGATATAGATTGAAGAAACCAGCATTTGCTTATTGTCACTTTACATATTATTTCAGTTAAAATAACTTTAAAATAAAATAAAATTGTTTTCATACATATATTTCATTTTTCAAATTTGAATTAATATAAAATTATATACATCCAGGATTCGGAGCAGCCTGGCACCTGGCCTATATTGAGGTAGAAGACATAGGAACCAGAAAATCTTACACATTCCATTGTAACAAATGGTTATCAAAGTCTGACGATGATAAACAGATACTGAGAGAGTTGACTTGTAGCACGGCTGCCAAGGGTGGTAGTACGCCAGACATGAAAGATAAATCTTGTAAGTTTCAGTGGTGATTTTTTTAAACTTATTTAGATAAAAGATGGTCTCACTGAAGTTGGTTAAAGAACGGAAACTTAAGTAAAAAAAAACAATGAATTTCCATAAACTAAACTGGTGGAGAAGTGATGTATTTTCCGTGAATTATTGTTAAATGAAGGGGCATGCCTCCAGATTCATGAAAATTTTGAAAATGTATTTCAAAGTAAAATATTGTGAAGTGAACAATGGAAGTAATTTACACATAGTATAATGTCACTTACAATTTGCGTAAATTACCAAAAAGAGATCAAAAAATAACTGTTATCGCATTAGTCACGCAGTAGAAATATTGTAATAAATACATTAATCACACATAACATGTAAATCATTACTTAAATCTTGAATTTTTTTACTTGACTGAAGTTTGATTTTCATGAAATATTTTCGCTTATCTGGAGGCGTGCTGCTTTAAGCTAAAAGGAAGGTAAATTGACTATTAAGATTGGGATATAAACAGTGTATTTGCTAAGCAAAGGAGTGTTATAATTATTTCATAAATTGATATCTGGCAACATGATTGATGATGTCTGACAATGAATAGAATATTTGATTGTCTGATTGGTATCTGATAATGAGAGACAAGTATGAAATTGATGTCTGATAAATGAACAACAAAAAATGGTTTTAAATACAATTTAGATCAACATCTGATAATGAAGATACAGATGATTTGTTCAAAAATAATCTGACAATATAATATTAATATGATATTTGATTATTATACATGTTGCCAGGGATAATAACCAAATTGATATCAGGCAAAATAGAGGAGATAAAAGAGTCAAGAGAACTGATATATGTATTTGTATAATTAATATCTGACAAAGTAATGTATTATATTGATATCGAAAGAAATATATGAATTATACAATGTATCAATATTTGACAATATGTGTAGCATAGTACAATATGTGTATAATTGTATATTGATGACAAAAATCAAGTTATCATTGTGATGTCTGACAATATAATGTATTACATTGATATTGGACAATAAATTTATGAATAATACAATGTATCAATATTGGACAATATGTATATTATTGTACAATATGTGTATGATTGTATCAATATGACAATAATCAAATTATCAATCTGACGGTATGTAATAACAAAAAGAATTGACATTAAATTTGTATAGCACATGGGGGATAAACAATTGTTTTAAGAAACAATATGTATGCTTTTTAGCTCGACTATACGAAGTATATGGAGAGCTGTCCTACTCGCCCCGGCGTCGGCGTCGGCGTCCGCGTCCGCGTCCAGATTTTAGATTAAAGTTTTGGTGCAGTAAAATATTTTTCACTATAACTTTGTCATTTCTTAAGGTATCAACTTCAAACTTCAAATATATGTTCCTTATCATCAACCACATCTTATGTGACAAGGTTCATAACTCTAGCACCAATATTTTCAGATTTATCTCCCCTTGAACTTAGAATTTTCCTTAAAAAATATTATTTTTTACTGATACTTCTTTATTTCTTAAGGGATCAACCTCATACTTCAAATATATGTACCTTATCATCATTCCCATCTTATGTGACAAGGTTCATAACTCCAGCACCAATATTTTCAGATTTATCTCCCCTTGAACTTAGAATTTTCATCAAAAAAATACTATTTCTTACTGTTTCTTCTTTATTTCTTAAGGGATCAACCTCATACTTCAAATATATTTACGTTATCATCATCCCCATCTTATATGACAAGGTTCATAACTCTAGCACCAATATTTTCAGATTTATCTCCCTTTGAACTTAGAATTTTCCATACAAAATATTATTTTTTACTGTAACTTATTTATTTCTAAAGGGATCAACTTCATACTTCAAATATATTTACGTTATTATCATCCACATCTTATGTGACAAGGTTCATAACTCTAGCACCAATATTGCGCAAGAATTATCTCCCCATAAACTTAGATTTATTTTCTAGAAAAATGTTATTTTTTATTTTAACTTTTTTATTTTAAAAGGTATCTACCTCAAACTTCAAATACTTATTCCTTATCATCAATTACATTTTATGTGACAATGTTCATAACTCTTGAAGCAATATTTACAGATTTATCTCTCTTTGAACTTAGGATTTTCTTTAAGAAATATAATAACTTCTTTATTTTTTAAGGTATCTACTTCAAACTTCAAATATATATTTCTTATCATTACACAAATGTTGTGTTGCAAGGTCCATAACTCTAGCATGACTATTTCTAGAATTATTCCCCTTGATCTTGGAATTTATGTTAACAAATGTTATTTTTTTACTATAACTTAATACATAATTATACATAATTGATTTTTCTTTCATAGTTTTGTCCTCCTTACTGCGTCCAGTATTTTATTAGTCGAGCTTCGCTGTCTCCTGTGACAGCTCTTGTTTTGTTTCAGGTTATGAGATTGAGGTAAAAACATCTGATAAGAAAGAAGGTGGAACCATACATAATGGTTGGATTATACTTGAAGGAACGAAAAGAACATCCAAGATTTTCAGACTGGAAAATAGTGCTACTAATAAAATATTACGCAAGTAAGTCACGTGATAACACAAAATGAATAAGAAGAAAAAGTAGTTCTGTAAATGTTCCACTCAAAGTGTCGTTTTGTGGTTCAAAATTCGTCAGGACAAGCCTTTTTTTATGTAGCAAAAAACTTTTCCACCATTCTTACACGGTTTTTCCCGGAAAAAGACTCAAGAGTATTTGATAACTTTAAGCTTTCCCAAAAAATCAAACTAAAAAAAAAACAAGTACATGTATAAACAAATCATGTATTCAGGTATATTTAAATAAGCAAGCTCACCATCATATTTGAGATGATAAATTTGTATATATTTTCTTTCCAGGGGCAATGTAGATCATTTTTCATTCCCGTCTGCCCCACTTGGTGAGCTGGAGAGTTGCATTGTGGGAGCATTTGAACGTGAAGACCGTCCTCTAGGTGATGCGGAGGGTCGGGAGGCAGAATGGCATTGTTTCGAGATCAGTGTTACGGATGCTGCCAAAGGCAAAAAGTAAGTTTTATTCTATAATAGTTTTATATTATATTGTGATAATAAAAAAATATAATTTCCAAATGATCATTATGCATCTGATAAAATAAATTTAAGAAAAGTAAAGGAACATTTTATTTTCACATATCTTAATACATATCTATGCACACCATTGTACTCATATTTTGGTTTGATACTGTGACAAGTTGGTAATGTTGTTTGGATAGCAAAAAGTGATCAAAGGAGTCAAAATAGGTGGTACAAATGATATTAGGTTTTTATTCTGTATCAGTTTGTATAAAAGCTGAACTATCATGTGGATAAATGTAGGTTTCTTGTGCTGTACCTGGGGTCTTCCACAAACCAGTAAAGATATCAATATCAATTTGAGGTTGTCTGCTTCTCAATCCATGGGGTCTTGAGTTCCAGCCCTGCTGGGGTCACAGGCATGTTTCCTTATAAGATACCAATCCTGGTTAGTTTTCTGAGCTTAAAATGGATTTTTAAAAGTGGTTCAAATATATGAAAGCTAAATGCAATTACCATGTTAAAACTTGACCAAAAAGATACATGTATTTATGACAATATTGTAATTTAACCACAGGTATATATTCCCATGTAAATCCTGGATACCAATTAAGGAGAGGATTAACAAGAGATACGGAAAAGTGCTTGAGGTGAAGAAAGTTGAGGAAAGTCAAACCTCTATAGTGAGAAGTAAGTCATTGGTTGATTTCTTGAGTTTTATAAATTTCAAATTTTAATTCATGTTCTAGAGATGAGGAACATGTAATGGGAGAAGTGTTTATGGTTTGATTCTATGCTTCTGTCAAGTTGATTTTTTTCAATTAAAAAAGGCGATAAGTGGAAAAGTAAGCTCAACATGGGGATCACGTGTTTTAACTGTATTATGTTGAAGATCATGTTTCCTCAGACAGCAGTACTGGTTAGTTCCAGAAAGCATAGTTTCTTGTGTTAAAAGTGGAAGCATTTCTTCATAATAAATCTTAAATATATATGTTTTAATTAAGTAAAAGGTAACACTTTCATCCATATCATATCTATATCTTTGAACTCCTGCTAACACCTTGTTGATTGTATTGTTTCAGCTCTCGCACCCATCAAGTATGAGTTAATAGTGTACACTGGTGATAAGTTTGGTGCCGGAACAAACGCCAACGTACATGTCACACTGTATGGAGAACACGGGGATACAGGAAAACGAGCTCTCACTCAATCAATGAGAGATCTGTTTGAGCGCAAACAAGTGGACAAATTCACGATCGAGGCTGTTGATCTAGGTAAGAAGCTTGTCAATATATTTGTCTTATTTTGTGTTGTCTTCATAGCAAAGTGTATTGTTGCCGCTCACTGCTGTGGGTTCAAATTCCAGGGACTTAAGATAACTTCATGAGAGGGAGCTATTCATAGAGCCCTAAAGGAAGGCCAGTGGTTGTACTATGGTTGTTAAAATAATGCATGGAGGGGGGGGGGGTCACCTGATGTCTTTCTCCAGCAGTAAAAATGAAAAGTTGCCATACGATCTCAACATTGTCAGTGTGGCTTTAAATCTGACATAATAAATTGTGATATGGTGAGTTTTTTTCAAAAAGGGCATCTTTGGTTAATTTTATACATGTTTGAAATAATTTCTTGATATGCTTTACTATTCTTTGGTTTGTTTCATTATATGCATCCTTTATTGTTACTGTTTACAGGGAAATTGACAAAATTACATGTGGAGCATGACAACAGTGGATGGAGACCGAAGTGGTATCTTGACCGTATAGAAGTGCTGAACCTTGTTAACAATGATCTCACTGTGTTCCCTTGCGGACAGTGGCTTGACAAAGACAGCGGTGACAACCAGATTGAACGAGATCTCTACCCCCAAGATTAAAGTCTACCCCCAAAAGATACTGCCACAAAGATTAACAGTTTACCAAAAAGATAAATATCTACCCAAAACCTTGTTGTTTTAATCGTAAGATTTGTACACATTATATGCTTCTTATTTATTATCAAAGCATACATGAGGAAAATCCATAGGCTAACCTACAAATGTATCACCATAATCAAGATTATTGTTTATTTTATATATTAAAAAATTGTATTGTCACATAGATTTATTATCATTTTATCATTATATGTTCATGTATACTGTTAAAGGGAGAGAATGAAAGGGGAGGTAATTATTCACTATGGCTTTGTCATATTTATTCATTGACATTCAAAACCTGTATTATTCATTGACATTCAAAACCTGTAGAAATGTTGGTTTGTATTTATCCATTGTTATCACATGTTATTTTTAGATATTAACAGTTATCAATGCACTGTTGTGTTTAAAATAATGTTCCCAAAATTTTATATATTTCTATTTTATAAAAGAAATGCAGTTTTTAATGCAGAATGAGATTTTTTAAACCACTGTCCACTGAACCAATCAAATGGCAGCTTTTTGTCACATGACCATGTGTTATAAAAATTTCTTTATTAAAATCAAAACAAATGAACCTTATTTTAAAAAACCTTGAAATATTTTGTAACAGAAGTATGTGATATTAAATATTTTTATGAAGTAACCAGATTTTTAATTACTTCTGTTGTCTATTTGTTGTCCATTTTTGTAAATGACATATTTTTATTTTGAAATTTGTGACTTTGAATTCTGTTTTTTCATAAATATAAACGGTGTTTAAATGTTGCACGGTAGAATATTTTTAAAAAATATTCAGAAATAAACATTTTAAGTTTTAACACATACATATATATATAGCTAGATTATTTTAGCACCCATAAAATAAATCATTATTTACTTTTGTATATTTATTTTATAATTGTGATATCAAAAATGGATACCTTTTTTATATAATTTTTTTCATTTTTATGTCTATATTTAACAGACTTGTGTTTTTGTATACATTTTATTATTATGTCTCCCCCACCTCGGGGGGAGACATATTGTTTTTGCCCTGTCCGTCCGTCAGTCCGTCCGTCCGTCAGTCCGTCCATTCTTCGTTTCCGGACGATAACTAGAGTTCCTTTTGACCTACAGCTCTCAAACTTCATAGGATGAATGGTCTTATTGAGCAGATGATCCCTATTGTTTTTGGGGTCAGTAGTTCAAAGGTCAAGGTCACAGTGACCGTTGGTCAATTTCTCGTTTCCGGATGATAACTAGAGTTCCTTTTGACCTACAGCCCTCAAACTTCATAGGATGATTGGTCTTATAGAGCTGATGATCCCTATTGTTTTTGGGGTCAGTAGGTCAAAGGTCAAGGTCACACTGACCGTTGGTCAATTTCTCGTTTCCGGATGATAACTAGAGTTCCTTTAGACCTACAGACCTCAAACTTCATAGGATGATTGGTCTTATTGAGCAGATGATCCTTATTGTTTTTGGGGTCAGTAGTTCAAAGGTCAAGGTCACAGTGACCGTTGGTCAATTTCTCGTTTCCGGATGATAACTAGAGTTCCTTTTGACCTACAGCCCTCAAACTTCATAGGATGATTGGTCTTATAGAGCAGATGATCCCTATTGTTTTGGGGTCAGTAGGTCAAAGGTCAAGGTCACAGTGACCATTGGTCAATTTCTCATTTCCGGATGATAACTAGAGTTCCTTTTCACCTACAACCCTCAAACTGGGGGGAGACATATTCAAAATTGAATACCTGGTTAAAAACAAACAGTTTAGGAAGCATCTTCTCATACAACCTTAACAATAGAAACCATCCATAGACAGCCTTCATTGAAGTGACTACCGGGTATTTACATTATCTTATCTCCATTTCCATTCCTGTTTCCATTCACAGTTATTCTCAGCAGTGGGGGAGACATGCGCTTTTTTACAAAAGCATCCTCTAGTTTAGATAAATGTGCTTGTTTGTATAATTATTTTTTTGTATATTTTGTTTGTATATTTTGTACAAAATTTTTCTTTTTAGTTTGGTGCCCAGAACACTTTACATGTTTACAACAAAATTTTTTTTGAGGGTGGGTGGCAGAGAGGATAAGCTCAGCACTGGTGGAATCACAAAGTACCCTGTATTTCATAAACATGTTTTCGTCATGTTTAAACAGTAAATTAATTTCTAATAATATATATTGTGGAGATGAACTTACTTCGGTGCCAAATGTAAAACTGTTTGCCATAATTTGAACAGTGCATGGTTTTCCTAGATGGGCAGCAAATTGTATTTATTAATTGTTTGTAATTTTATTGTGTTATCAAACCAACTTGTCTGTGATAATTGTATTTCTTGTATGTTTTGATGATTTATTTATTACTTTATTATTTTGTTTTAACAATGTCAATCACATTTCTGTCTTTTACTTGTTCCCACAAATAGATCGAGTGACGAGAGTGAACATTGCGTAACAAAGCAAACTTAGTAACTAATAAAGTCTATCAAATCCATATTGATGAGGCTTATTAAAATCATTTCATGTAAATAAAATGGGTATTTACTATGTATACTATTATTTATACATATGTACATAGTCTACTCATATGAATGTATTTGTTTACTTAATGCGTAACATTTGAATTGCAGGTTTTAAAAATGAAATTATTTTATGTGTAATAAAACCGTCAACTTTTTTTTATTGAAAACCTGTTACTTTATAGATTTTTTATTTTTCTGTAACATTTTGAAATTAGTTTTTGTTTCATTTGTTCAAATTTCTTACATTCCATTAAAAAAAGAAGTTAAATTTCTGTTAAACTTCAAAAATATATATTTTGAACTTTTGAAGAAATATTTATACATGAATACTGTTGGTATATATTTTTATAAAAATAAATCATATTTAAAGTCATTTACATAGTGTAAACATGTATTCCCATAGCCTAGTCTTTAAAATAAAACATTCCATTTTCGTAATAAACACGCCAATCTGTGATTAAATTTGTCAGGGTCGTGGAAACACTGTCCAAATTTGTTTTTAAAGTACATTGGTTTAGTAACGATGTTGCCACGAACATATAATAATCTCATATGACAACCATTTTTCTTGTTTTTTATTTCAATTGAATATCTACTACATGTTAAATCATTGCTTTGATAATTCAAACCAAGAACCGGTTGGATGTGTGTGATGAACCAGTCCTTCTTTAAATTGTCAATTGTTTCAAATGTTTTTTTTCTACATACCATCAAAATGATTAAACTGAACTGCCAATAGTAATATCTCTATACTGCAGGTTTGTATTTTTTTAAGATGGAGTAAAATTTGACCTTTCCATATTTGGGGGTTGTAACATAACTTGTTTTGAGCACAAAATGATAATTTTCAAACAGAGTAAATTTGCTCATCTTCTTTTATACCTTAATACACCTTGTAAAATTTCATTGATCTTGATCATTGAGTATTTGACTTTAAATGAAATTTAGAAAGAACTATGTACCTTGGTAACATATTAATATTTAACAGTGTAATTAGGAGTGTCAACTTTTTTCTGCTTTTAAAATGAAAGTTGATGGTTTTCAGAATTTAAAGACAATCTTGTGAAAATGTAAATGTGATAAAAGTCTTAACTATCCTTATACAGCTTGATTTTTAAGCAGCTCAAAATTTTTACCTTTTTATAGCATATTTTTTGTTTTTGTTTTATCTACCGATATAATGTCGAACAATTCTAAAATTTTGAAAGAGACTTGTTTTTTTCACTTTGTCTAGATATGTATTTGTGTATATTTTTGCATCACCTAAATCTGTCAGAGGTTGCTTAATTGATAAAAATGTTTGAAGTTTTAGGCTACAGATTTCCTGCAGAGGTTTTATAATGTTGTGCGCAAGATTGCTTTGAACCTGACTCATGTTTCTTGCATATCAGACTGGCGTTTCCGTTAGTTTTACCCATGCCGGAAATTTCATCTGGCATGGGGGGTTCCAGATGAGTCGCGTGCTGTACAACGGCACGGTTAAGATGACGTCATTTTACCGTTATGAATGATTTTGTAATTCATACGCTGTTGTAAGAAAGTAGTTACGATTGTAATGATATAAATTTTCATTGAAAATAAAGGTAAAGAATTTAAAATATAATGGAATATGGTAGAATATGCAAGAAAAAATATCTGACATATGTTTGCGGTTCGGATCGGAATATCCGTCCCTCGGTCACCCGCCCATGGGCGGGTCACCTTGGGACGGATATTCCGATCCGAACCGCAAAATATGACAGATATTATTATGATAGATCATTTTCCATCTATATAGAAGCTATTTAGTTAGTAATGGTTTTTTTGTAGAATTGTTATTTCATTTTTTGATAAAAGTATTTTATTTAAAATGATACATTTAACAATTTCACGCAACAGCGTTTCATGGAACAAACTTTTCATTCTTTAGTTGCAGCACAAACTTTTGCCGTCCTTTCTTTCAAAACAATCATATTTGTCTTATTGTTTTTCAATTTAGCTTAGATTCCTAATCTTATACATTTTGTCCAGTCTCACTTTGCATTTTTTTTATTTGTTTATAAATTTATGCCCTGTATGTTATTTGTGAATAGTTTAATAATTTTATATTTTGGATTTTTTAGGGGGAAAATGTATACATATACTTTTGACATTTTGTTACAATTGTAATATTTTTGTTAGCAAACTTCTGTAACTGTTGATAAACTAGGAAAATAAAATCATTACAAATATAAACTTGTATATTTTATATTAGAAAAATTTGTATTGTCAAACAATATTGACCTGGCACTCAATTAACTTTCGTTAAGGTCATTTGAATAAACATTGACCAGTGGTCTATCGAATATATCGGTATATATACACATGGAAATAAGTTTAGCACATCCGGATGATCCCAGAAATTTAAAATTGGTTGTGATTGAAAGCACTGTCACAAGATGATGACTTAATTGAGCTAAGAAATAGTCATTTGGTTAGTGGCGATACCAATTTCATCATAAACCAGTAAATTTAAGTTTAGTTTATTCTTAACCAAATTATTGAAGCATAAGCAAATCTGTTGTTTTTTTACCAAAAACAAGTGTTTTTAAGAATGGTGTTGGAGCGTTTACAAAACATTTACTGGTAAATATTTTTGGTAAATGTGGACGATCACGTAACCTAAACTGACATTATGTAGCCAAATTTTAATTAATAGTGTGTAACTGCCATGTGCACAGATAATAGCCTCAACCTTCTCACACAATTTTGCCGACCACAACTATATTTTTAACGGGCAATGGTACAAACTACCTGTAGTCAATTTAGCTCTGCACAAAGAACGGCAAAATTTACCTCAAAATTGCATTAGAAGCTATACATCATCCGGGCACATGTCGGTTACACTCATTACATCAATGTCACTGATAGGGGTCTGGGTGTTGCACATGCTTTACATTGGTATAGTTATTTCAAAATCCCTTAAGGCTGAATAATGGACAGACAGACCATCTCTGTATACCCTTTTCTTTTCCAAAGAGTTTAAAAATGGCTTCTCTTGTGGGGATATTAAATGCATATAATTTGGAGTTTTCATATTTTCAGCAAAGTTGATTCTAAAATTATGGACAGCCACTATTTTCTCAGAACATGTGTTCATGTGAATACATAGCAGTTTTTGACTGTGTGACCAAGGATTATTTAACATGTTAATGATTTTAATCATATTAAAGAACTAAATGAAAAAATTTGATCTTTTTTTTCATTTATTTTCTTTCATTTACACAGCATTTAGAATTTCTTGAATCCTTTTTTAGATCCTGCTGCTTTGGAGACCTTGAGAACGTTGAATCTGACGGTCTTACTGAGGGGTCGGCATTCTCCAACAGTTACAACATCACCAGGCACTACGTCCCTGCAATATATAGAGAACATTCATTAATTAATGAAGTGTAATAAATATCTAATTATAGTCACCAATAAATGATCGTACCAATTAGTCATTCCATGAACTTTGAAAATATTTTTTCTTTATTTCTACACAACTGACCATCAATCTGATCCTGTGGTAAGACATGCCAGTTTTGAACAAATTGTGCAAATAAAGAAATGAGCAAAATATATCAAATTTAGCTTCATATGGAAGTAATGTGGGAAATTGTTATTATGTAGTCACATCAGCAGAATGCCATTTGGCAGTATCACCAGTACATGTCTGAAGACCATCGTGAGAAAACATCACTTGTGACTTACATATAAAACATAGATGACTCAATAACTTGACAACACTAGTCTTGACTGGACTTATATGCTTGATGGGTTTTTTTTCGTTTTTTTTTTTTTTGGGGGGGGGGGGGTCATTTTGTTTGGTTTTTATTTCGCACCAACACAATGTAAGTCATATGGCAACTCTCCAGTTTTACTGGTGGAGGAAGACCTCAGGTGTTCATGCATTATTTCAGACAGGAAGGAGCACCCAAGTAAATTTACAAACATTCCATAAGCTAGTTGGATAGCTTCCTCACATGAAAGAATCCAAAGTTCCTGTCGTAATTTGAACCACAGTACCTAGGGGCATATTATTTTAAGACAATAACCTTTATTGCTCCAGATATGCTAAACAATTGTGTTTCCATCAATAGTTGAATGAAGGAATAGCTCTTGGAAAATGTTTTATTTGATTTATTTGTTTAAAGAAAATAAAGATTGGAGCAGAAAGGATAGATTTTCACAAATTTTTTATAAACATTTGATTGATGAAATATACCAAACAAATTGCAGGTTGTCATTATTTTTACTATAGTCACATCAGCAAAATGCCATTTGGCAGTATCACCAGTATACATGTCTGAAGACCATCGTGAGAAAAACATCATTTGTGACTTGTCATTTTTACAGCTTATTTTACCCGATCATGTCTTTACATGGATATCCTATTGACCATAAACTCGTAAGACCAATATTTTTCATTGTAGAATATATTACAAAATTCATAAAATATCCATGTTACTGTATGTTGATAAAATCAATCAAAGAATTTTTTTAAAAGCTATATTTAGAATCCTGAAGGTCAGCTATAGCCTTTATAACAGCAGCTTTAACTTTCAATCATGCCCAATCATGCCCATAGGGAAATGTATACAGCCTTTAACATAAACGAAACATCTGCTTTTGAAAAACTGATCAAGCATAATTTATGAAGTAATTGGTGCAACAATGGAGGACATGATGGACTATCTCAATTTTTTAGATAAATAATGGCCTGTCACATCAGCAGAATGCCATTTGGCAGTATCACCAGTTCAAGTCTGAAGACCATCGTGAGTAAAACATCATTTGTGACTTCATGACTTTGTGACTGTATATAGGCCCCACCAACCCCCCCCCCCAAACGTTGCAGGGCCAATTTAACCCAAGGACTTTTATTTGCACAAACTTGGTAGACACCCATAAGAAGATGTTTCATGCTAAACATCTAAGCTCTAGCTCATTGGGCTTTTTAAAAGAAGATTTTTTTTTAAGTTTTTAACATATAGTTAAAAACAATGACACCCCTGGGGCCGGGCCAGTTTTGACCCCAGTGCTTTTATTTGAACAAACTTTGTAGACACTTACTAGAAGATGTTTCATGCTTAATATCTAAACTCTAGCTATTTGGGTTTTTCCAAAGATTTTAAGTTTTTGCTATACACATATAAAGACAATCAATGACCCCCCAGGGCGGGGCCAATTTTGACCCCTGGTCTTTTACTTGAACAAACTTGGTAGACACCTATTAGAACATGTTTCATGCTCAATATCTTAGCCATAGCTCTTTGAGTTCTTTAAAAGAAGATTTTTTAAGTTTTTACTATATGCATATAGGGAAAATCAATGACCCCCCAGGGCGGGGCCAATTTTGACCCCTGGGCTTTTATTTGGACAAACTTGGTAGACACTTATTAGAACATGTTTCATGCTAAATATCTTAGCTCTAACTCTTTTGGTTCTTTAAAAGAAGATTTTTTAAGTTTTTACTATATGCACATAGGGAAAATCAACGACCCCTGGGGCGGGGCCAATTTTGACCCCAGGGCTTTTATTTGAACAAACTTGGTAGACACTCACTAGAAGATGTTTCATGCCAAATATCAAAGCTCTAGCTCTTATGGTTTTTTATAAGAAGATATTTAAAGTTTTTTCTTTCGGTTGCCAGAGTTCTGCATGGAATTAAATTCTTTGAACAATTTTTAAAGGTGACCACCAAAGGAACATTCCTGTTTGGATGAAATTGGCTTAGTGGTTTATGAGGAGATGTCATTTAAAGTAAAAGTTTACGGACGGACGGACGCCGGACGAAAAGCGATCACAAAAGCTCATCCTGTCACTTTGTGACTCCTGTCACTTTGTGACAGGTGAGCTAAAAATGCTCCACTGAAATAATTTAAACTGTCTATTTCACACAAGCCGAGAGGAAACCATTTAATTCTTAAAAAATAAAAAACAAAATTTTAAGATACTGAAAAAAAATTCATTAACAAACAGATGCAAAGAAACCATGTGTTCAACTTATATACTTTCTTATTTTTACTTTGGTTGTTTTTGATATCGATTTTAAACTTTTTTTATGTAACATCTTGACCATCAATCTACCTAAACAATTTTCCTGGATTTATCCACAAGTGATCAAATACTAACTCAACAAGATTAAGCAGAGACAAAACACCATTAGACTCAAATGTCCAAGATTAATTGTATGTGAAATTTTTTCCTTGCCCAAGGATCAAAACCAACCTGAATGACACCGAAAGAAATTAACCGAAAACCCTTTAAGAAAGAACTTTCAAAATACAGATCAACACCATTTAGGAGACACTATTTTGGCCGATGCTTAGAAGCTTTGCTCTCAAGACGTTAGATTTATTGTGAGGTCTTATTTTCAGAAGAACTGACAGTCATAAAAATAACTTATTGTAAAGAGATGATTTTCCTGTCACTGTGATATTAAAGAAAATTAGAAGAAGTCACATCAGCAAAATGCCAGTTGGCAATTTCAACATATAATGTCTGAAGACCATCGTGAGTAAAACATCACTTGTGACTTGAATTACTTTTCCAAAACGACACCAACAAATCAAATTATCCAACATAAACTGATGATTGCCTTTGAAAACAATAGTCAGTAACTGAACAACATTAGAATGTTAGCATATTTACAAGTAAACACCTCTGGTGACTTACAAAGAATATTAAAACATCATTATCATATTGACATTGAAATAAAACCAATTTTAAACCCTTTTATTCAACATGTTTGCTGTATTTGGACTTTTATACACGTAAAATTTCTGAAAAGGTCTGACAGCCTCAAGAATAGTTTTATCAATTAGTGAATTTAAGATATTTATTATCAACAATTTAGGTAGAACAAAAATTTTATGTGACTGCAAAAAAAGGGTGCCAGTGACAGAGAAATGCGTTTTTCAAGACCTCTCTACTCTGCCTGTCACATTTTTGTCAATGTCAAATTATTATATAGTAATACTGCTTTTCTTAATATTGACACAAAGTTGGGAAATAGCATACCTAAAACATGGACTAAGATGCACAGACATATTTTTATGTCTCTTCTCAAATCTCTGGTATTTTTTCACAAAGTGCAGATAATCTCTACGGATTACAATAGTCCTTTGCATCTTCATCTTCATAACAACACCTGACAGAATACGTCCTCGGATGCTCACGTTACCAGTAAATGGACATTTCTTATCAATGTATGTGCCTTCGACAGCCTAAAATGAAGATAATTTGCAATGTAAGGAGAAAAGTTATACAAGTTATGACTTTCACAAATTATCTTAAATTCTTAATCAGTATTAATATAAAGCAGTGACTTTTTTTCCAATTTTCCAAACAACCTGTGGCTTTCTGAAGGGGAAAATATAGCGCAATAAATCAGAAAAGGGGGAAACCAGAAATCAATTTCCAACAACTGAAAATGAAATTTACGCACACATTTTATGAAAATAATTAATTTCAATTCAATTTAACATGCATGGTACAATAGTAGAGGCAGTATCTATAGCGACAGATTTCTGTCTTCTAGCTGATGCTGTTAAGTCATGGTTCTGGTAAGGAAGAGCACGAGGCATTTAAGGGGGAAATATATGCATTTTTAGGGGAAAATATACCTATATTGGGCTAGGGGAAACAGCCTTTATTCGGCTGTAAAATACAGTGAAAAAAATCACTGTAAAGTAATTATAAAGTTATTCAGATTGCTTCAGCAGGATTGCTTAAAATATTTATCAAGTCCACTAAGCTTAGTAACCCTTAAACCTTTAGCAAGAAACTACTTTTTTGGTTGTAAATCTATAAAAAATAAAAACTGAAATTGGCAGATTGTGTACAGTGTAACTTCTGAAAACCGAACACCCATGGGACTTGTCAAAATGTTCGGATTTCAGAGGTTGCCGGAATTCAGAGGTTTCGGATAATGTGGACAAGACTAAGCCACTAAATGTCACTAAATGTCAAGGAAAATGTGGCCATTACTGTAATATCATATATAATAGTCTTTTAATCAAGATAAAGATGTGAAGGAAAAGAAAACATTGATATTTTACACTTTATTTAACTTACAAATTGTCCGATGCTAGTTAATTAATTAGTACAGCAAATGCAATAAAATCCCTAAAGACGTTTGATGCACAAATTGTCCCAATTAATTGCCATTTAATCCGCTAATAAACACTTCAAATTCACTGACCGCCGTAAATTACTTTAATTGACCGCATCACTTCAAATATATTACTTCACAGTTTGTGATTTTAACGCGTGTCAAATTACACGATCACTTCTAATTAGTTAACAATCGACAGGGAGATTAAATCTTCCTGCAGGGTAAACATTCTCGATTTTACAAAGTATTTCACACCTTTAGATATTTCCGGATTTTGGAGGTAAAATTGCATTGATTTGACTCTAATTTTACAAAAATATCGTCCGGAATTCAGAAGTATTATATTAATAGAAAATAGAAGGGAAAAAATCGGGACCGAAAAAATTGTTCGATTTTTAGAAGTTTCCGGATTTCAGAAGTTCCGGAATTCGGAAGTTACACTGTATATGAATAAAGGATGATAAAAAATCACATAAAAGAACCCATATTAAAAATGCAATAACTTAAAGTGAAAGCAACATGCACTTAACCACAGACAAACAATAGTTATGACAGAAACCTAAATATAATATATTAAACAAAATGCCTTGCAATTCATCCATTAGTACTTTAGAAGTTATTTATCAGAAAGCTAGTCAGTTGACTGATTTGCTATATATAGCAAAATCTAAAATTGTTTAAAACCAGAAAATAATAGTTCAATTTTTTTTACTTCTCTTGGCGTCTTGAATCCTAGACCAACACTCTTCGAGTAACGAAGATTTTTCTTGCCCTTTGCAGACAGTAAAGCAGACTTCTTGTTCATGAAGACTGCATCCTGTTTTTGAAACGATCTCTCGGTCTGAAATATATAATTTATCCAATGAAATGAACCACAGTGATAAAAGTTTATATGAATCATTGAGGTCAACTCGGGGTTATACCAACTTGGCACTGGTCAAATCCACTCTATAATAAAAAATTGTTAGGATAAAGATTTAGTTAATTAATTTTTTTAATTTTCTAAATTATTAAAAGTTACGACGACTAACAAATAGAAATTCAAAAAGTTGGCAGTGTTGTTGGGAATTATCTTTGATTAAAAGACATGTCCGAAAAGATGTTTTTATGATTGATCCATAAAAAAATATGTTAAGACTGAATTTTGTAACATAAAATGTAACTATAGTAAACACCTAATGCTGTTTGAACAATACTTTCTACAAACATCAGATGTAGGCCAACCTTCTAATGAAATTGATAGAAGTGTAATCAGGAAAATGCTAAACAATGAAAATATATAAACAGTTAAAAAATGTTATCATTTTACCAGAAGTATTTAATCATGGGCAAATTAGGTGTAAGGCCAAGATGACTTGGGGGCCGAGTTAGTGCTAATGCCGCATTGACATGGATTCTGTCACTTAAGGATTAGAGTTGGACATGGAATTTGCAAGACAGATTCTTAATAAGTAGGTAACATGTTAAGGGGTTATATGCTCATTTGTTGAACATACACAACACTCCCCTTAATCATCATGAATTCTGTCATTCATTTAATTTTCAAAGGATGAGTCAACTCGGCCCTATTCGAACTCGGCACGGGTTAGTCCAATAGATTAGACGTTACAGGCTTGTTATAGTTTTATGTTGGTCAAGCCTGACGTCTAATAGTTATTGCTCATAAACGCGTAGCATTTTGAAAAATTAAAAACATGTCTGTTGACTTGCCTTTCAAGCTTTATTCAAAAGCTTATCTTCTGTTCTTTCAATTGCATGGTCTATCATTAACAAAAACTTTCAAACAATGAAATTATCAATTAAAAATAAAATATAAATATCAATCTATTTTGCTCATCGGCCATACTGGTTAAGTAAAGCGTTTTACAGATTGATTCCAATTTTTTGAACGGAAAAATATATTCGAACACACTGACGGTGCATGGGAAATTATTTCGTTGAAAAAAATTCCGTTAGAAACTTCTGGAATCATTTAAACGCTTGCATTTGAATTAGCCAATCAGATTTCGCGCACTGTATGGCGGCCATTTGTATATCGGCTGTACAAGGAATTTAATTAAATGAGAGGATTTAATCATGACTTTTCGGATGTGACAGTTCAATTATTTTGTTAACAGGTATTCATTTTTTAGTTTTGTTCATAAATAGGTCAAAATTATTGTAAATACACGTTGTTTTAATTGTTTAAATTCATTAGATCTAAATCGATGTCTAATGTCAATTTTTTTGCTACACGATTTTGCAAAGATCTGTTAAGACCTAACGTAACATGGAAAATGAAAAATGTAAAATATCAGATTAATGAATGATAAATATGAAATAGGTTACGTATAGGTCTTAAAATTAGGACTAGGCACGGGTCAACTCGGCCCACTTTACAAAAATATAAAGGCCTATAACGTATTTACTTTGCTTTGCATGTTGTTAAGGTAAATGAAAAATAAGAAATATAATATTATTATTATATGATTATACATTGTACCTCTGCTGAAATAAAGTATATTTAGAAAAAAAAGTTATTTGTCTTGCTGTTTCGATAAAATTAATATAGACACAAGCACTATTATCGAACCTGGGAAGAAAAATTATGAACAGATTAATAAAATAGCTTCATATTTTTTCTTCCCAGGTCCGATACTTGTGCCTGTGAATATAATAAAAGTGTTTCTGTAGATGTTTTTTCTGAGTAAAGTAATTTTCAAAAAATTATGGAATAAAAACGTGTTTACTTAATAGCATAAGCTTCTAATTCATTGCAGGTGGTCACTTATTAAATTTGAATGAATGAGTCACTCATAATTATCACCTAATTAATTGGTATCTTTAACATACATTGACTGATAATAATAGCCCGTGACAATAGGAGTCCTTTGATGTCCTTTACCCATTGTAAAAAGTGGGCCGAGTTGACCCGTGTCGAGTTGGAATAGGGCCGAGCTGACTCGGGCCGAGTATGTTTTAGGGCCGAGCTGACCCGGATTCTTTTCAAACATGTAAGCAAATAATTAAAACACATAAATTGAAAGGCTTTGAAATGAATTTTAAGAACAGGGGAGTGATGTAAAATCGATAACATCATCGATAACTCCCTCATACTATATTGGTAGACTACGAGAAAGAATATTAAATCCATTATTAGCCCGGGGTTCTATGATATCGCGGTACTTAACGTTTATCGGCAAAAAGTAAAAAATAAAAATCATACCTGAATGAAATTCCTCTTCCTTTTAATAAGTCATCCTTTTACAAAACTGTTTGTGAAAAAAATATTTCAATAGTTCCAATTAAATTGTATTTTTTTTAATTATTTACATTGTCCGCCATTTTGGCTCATTTCAGGGGAGGTTACTACGATATCGTGGTAATCCTTAAAATGTAAGTATGGAAGGCTAAATCTGCCGAAATCTTCAAATAAGTTTGTGAAAAACTGTCAACAGTAAAATAGGTATAAAATTCAAACATTTAAATGTTAATTAACTGTTTGCAAACGTTTTTAACAATCATTTTACTTATTTACATGATTTTAAATGGATACAAATTAGTTATTTTCACAGTGTGGACACTTGAATCCATAATTGAGACGGACAACACGGACAGGTGAGCAATAAATTAGGTGAGTCCAATGGTTGCAGACATCACACTGTGCCCATTTGGTTATTACAACACTGAGTGCACCCCTTAACTCCTTCGGTTGCCATTCACCACACACACAGCACAGATCTTCATCACAGATATCATCAGATGAACTGAGACAATCATCATCCTCACTAAGGAGTAATGGACCACCTTTCTTTGAAGATTGAATTCCAGATGTACTTGGTTTTACAACTGTGCTAATTGATTTACACTTTTTACTTTTTTTAATATTCATGACTTTATTGGATTGTTTTTTTCTTTCTTTCTGTACAATTGAATTTGAATTTATCAAGTTTTGGTTTTGTTTATTTAGAAGGTTTCCTGCTAAGTATGGTGGTACAAATCTTTTTTTCTTTTTCAGAACAACTGACTTAATAGTTTTATCATCAAAAAAGCTGTTTGGAGATTTGTTTACAGAGTTGGCAGGTGCAGCTTGCTTGTTTACAAGGTTGGAAGAAGCAGTTTGGTTGTCGACAGAGTTTGAAGGAGCAGCTTTGTCTACTATATTATTGTTAGAGGAAGAGTTTTCTGCAATATTTTTATCAGAGTCATTTTGGTTCTCTGTATCATTTTTGTCATAAATGATAGCTGGAGCAACCTGGCTATCCTCAATAATGCCACTGTTCAGAGGATATATTCCAGTTTTTCTAAATCCTGTTATCAGATTTTCAGGCGATAATGCTCTAATGTAAGGTTTCCTGGTTAGTTGAGCAACCTGGTATTTGGTGATGTTAATACCAGGATATTGCTGAAGATAAACCTGGCATTCTTTATTATACATAGCTTTCAAAGGCCCAAATACAGATACATCCAATGGCTGTGTCAGATGGCTGGTATGGGGAGGAAGCACATATAAAATGACATTGTTCTGTTTGGCCCAGTCAGTGAGTGTCAGATTTATATGGGACCTATGACCATCGTATAATATCAGAGTTGATGGCTGATCTATGCCTAGACTTACACCGGAATACTTCATGAAATGTGTAGTGACGTAATTCTGAAATATCTGGGTGTTTGACCACCCAGAGTCAGACATTTCTCCTGCTGACCCAGGAAGACACCCCTCTAAAAAATCTGGATTCCACCTTTTTCCAGGGAAGATGTAATAAGGTGGGATAAAATTCCCCAATGCATTCCCCCCAGCAATTATGGTTATTGTAGAAGATCTAGTGGATGTTATAGCTTGTGGTTTTGTCCCTTTACTGAAAACAATCTTAGGCGGAGCATGTTCCGCATTTATGCCCGTTTCATCAATGTTAAAAATTCTTTCAGGATGCTCATCAAATTTATGTTTTTCTATGATGGCTGAAAGCTCTCTAAAATACTTGTCAAGCGCTTCTCTAGATGCTGATTGAGCCCTTGCAAGGGACAGTTTCTGGGGTTTGGCAACAGTTAAATTGGGCCAACGTTTTAGAAGCCCATAAAACCAACAATTACTTAGGGAGTTTTTGGCCTTTACAGATTTACCAAGTGACTTTGCATAGTCTTTTGCCATATGTTGGATTCCTTGTTTATTGTACCCATAGCCTATTTCAGCCATATAAGATACATGCTGTACCAACTTATTTTCTTCTTCTTTATTGAAGATTGTTTCAAACCCAATAGTTGAATCTACCTCAACTTTGCCTGTTTTCCTATCCCTTAAAGTGGTTTCTGGCACAGAATACATTCTGGCAGCTCTGTAAACAGACATTCCATTACTTGTAGCCTGGAAGGCTCTCTGCAAATTGGACCTGTCATATTGTAGTCTCTTTTTTTTTGAAGGTGGACCCTAAAATGATGAAAAAAGTTATCATGCTCAAAAGATATTGTATGCTCAAGGAAAAGAAATTGTATTGATGGATGCAAAAAGTTAAGAATATAAATCTTATTTAAAAATGAATATATTTTTTGAAGTATTTTATGTATTCTATGTGTAGATCTATCAAGTTGAACTGATCTTGTTTATCATATTTGATATTAATATTTGTAAACTATCAGAATGATGTTTTTGTTTGTGTATTGTGCAAATTGTTAAATGATTTTTATTCATTGTATCATATTCAAATATATTTATAAATGTATATTAAAAAAATTGCTGTGTGATTTTTTAAATAATATTTTAGGGACAAAAATTATGACTAAAGTGGCCTTCCATACATTTTCCAATAAAATATTAGCAATGTCTATTTATAGTAACATCAAGCCTCGTTTTGGTTTGTTTATAAACAGACGATATGTAAGTGAGTGGGATTATGGCTTATTTCAAATGACTGTGTAAAAAAATGAATGGAAATAGTAGTTAAATGTAAAGGTTTGTATAAAAAAGTTTTCTTACCAGGAATGCATTCATTATTAACAAAATTATATTTATCGGCGAATGCGATGCGGTTTAGCGTGACATTTATAAAAATAGCAGCATCGGCAGGTGTCGCTTTAGCGCGCAGTCGCAGAAAATGTAAATACCGCGATATCATAGAACCAGCGATATCATAGGAACCGAGTATACTTGTCGCGAAAATATATGACAATCTGTTTTTAAAGACCATACGAGAATACAGTGTATTCAAAGGAGCAATTTATCAAATCAAAAGGTATTGAAAAGTCATGGAACGTAATCAATTTTTCGAAACAATCAGTATTTGTAGTAATAATTGCATCCAAATCTTTCAATGCTTACCTGCTCCGCCATGATGAGAGATTTTTCGGAAAAGACCGGAAATGGGTTACATTTTCATATTCACGGAGTTTTGACTGGTTCTGTACGGCCTTAAAAGCGACAAGAGTAGTCGGTGTAGCCTTTTCGCTATTGTTTTAGCATACCGTTTTATTAAAAAATATCAAGAATAGGCAAGGCATAGATATACATGTATGCATTTCCCAACGAGTTATTATAATTTAGTTTAAAATTTTTTTTATTTTATTTTTAAATTTTACAAACGAATGGTGTACTTATGGGCTTTTTTGTATCTCTCGTTGCCCCCTGATAGCTTAAGCTTTAAACAGTGTCTTTCAAAGACCTTGCTTTGAAATAGATAATCCTTGATATTGTTAATGTCGCAAATTAATTCTACCATATAGTCACTGTCATGACTCAGTCTTCTTATTTTACATACCAAAAATTGCAACTTTAATTAGGATTCCACCATAAGTTTAACGAGGCTCTTGCAGAAGACAATTCTCTATACCAGTAACATTTGTAATGTTGCAAGTGTTGTATATGTAACAAATCCAAATAACTGGACGGTTCAATATAGCTTTGTTGCATTCATAAATATACGCTAACAATCACAGACTTAACAATAACTGAAATATAAACATACATGCAGAGGCTAGCCAGTGGCGGATTTATCACTACACACAGGCGAGGATCTGATTGGCAACTACAACATCAATCAATATAAACAAAATCGAAAATAAAACTCTTAATCACGAACTTAATAACGTTTTGACATGGTCTAAATTAGGGTTAGAAAATAACCTACAAAAAACAAAAGCGATGCTTTTTTCTAACGTCAATCGAAATCGACCTAATTCATATATTGATAATGTTCTACTAAATTTAATAGCCAGACTACCATTAACACCTAGGTGACACATTTAGCCAAGCTGGTAATTGGCATGAACAAATCGCGAATATCGTCTCTCCTGCATAAATAATTCTATAAATAAAGAAATTTAAAAAATCAAAGTTAAGATAAATACATGTATATTTTTCATCAATCAGCAATAAAGAACAGAGAATCTAATATAATTTTGCTGTTTTTAATGCTTCCGAAGGCTCTTTTTACCCCAGATATTGCTTGAAAGCACTCGTTTTTATTGTTTTCAAGAGCTTATCGTTTCTCTCGATCCCAGCTATAAGAAACTTAACATAATATTGTTAGATAACATTCAGAGGTTTTCCTAATTTTCATGTACCGTAAATTGGATGTACAATTACGAGTACTCATCTTCAAAATTAGTTGGGTAACAGCAAAAATATTGATTAACATATCTGAATCTGACAAAAATGAGCTTGTTTCGTATCCTAAAAGTCACGTGGTATCTTAATATTGAATACGCAATATTGCAATGTGATTGAGGTAAAGTAAGAAATGCAGTACCACTACATATATATCCTTTTCAAACGTGTTTCCGTGCGAATTCGACTGATTGGATATTTGAAAACTGACGTATATTTCTTAGCAAGTTCATGTCAAATAAATTTTCCTGCCATATGTTATATACATATGTATTTCCCTCATTATTAAAGGTAGAAAATATTGTTGCATTCAGGAATACAACGGTTTTAATTTCTAGTATGTATGTATTATATTATAGCAATATACAACATTACATCACATTGTTTTAAATTGTACAGTAGATCTACTGTGGGACTTTTAATTTACCCAGTATAGAGGTATTGAATTCTGTACTCTCAACATAGCATTTATACAGATGATGATCCGGACAATGTGTGATCCCCCGGAAGCATTAATTACAACAAAATTACATGAAAATTGCAAACCCGGTTTGGTTTAGTCTGTACATGAGGGATAATAAGGAGAAAAACATTCCTCATACCTCTAGCACTGGCTTTAGCAGTACTCAGTTTTCAACACTTAATTTTAAGTGCCAGAATCAACAATCCCGAAGGACCAGAAAAATATAACATCACTGAAGTGAAGCAAAGCGCAGCTATAAAAAGCTGCCACATAGCACTTGGCACCTGCTGTTGTGAAATATAAAAATCAGGAGAAAGTGTGATCAAACGGAAGCATCACTCAAAACAACATTACATGAAATTTCAGACTCGGTTTCATTGAGTCTGTACTGTACATGAGACATAATGGAAAAAATGCAACATCCCTCACGCCCCTTAGCACCGACTTGAGCGGTATTCAATTTTCAACACTTAAAAGTGCCGGAATCAATGACCCCGGAGGACTAGCAAAGAGAAAAATTGCTTGAAGGCAAACATATTTGTTTTGTTTTTTTACCCAACTGCAGCTAGCCTAACCACACTGTATGGGACACCCGACTCTTTAAAAGTTGATTACAAAATGCAGTAATGAAAATTGTTTAATTAAAGAAAATTTTACTTGTTAAAATATAATGAAAGCTAAATTTATTTATTAATTATTATTTATTACTAATCCAAGATTTTTATTGAAAATGCTTATTAAAATGCATGTTTCTTCTGTCAATATTTATTGTTGAATGAAATATTACAAAGCAGTTGTTGTTTTTGTTACCTGTAAATCGAGATATTCATTCTTTTGTGGCACGTTCTTTTCAGTTTATTAAGCATTGTGAAGAAATTACGTTTTCTTTATGCTAAAATTATTTTGTATAGACAAATTTATTTATACTTTTTCTTCACTTGAATAAAAAAACGTTTCTTTCTTATTTAATGTTTGTAATAATGTTTGTATTGTATATTTAGTGCAAACAAACGCATTTATTGAAGAAAAAACTGTCATTTTAGTGATTGAAATAATATATCCTATAAGATGAATATTAGCAAGACGGCACTAAAGGCTGCTTTTAGGGTACTCAGAGCCCTGAAATTACACTAAGGACCTGCATATTTTTTAGAATGATATATTTAAAGCTAAAGAAAATAATTTGCTAAAAGAAAAAAAAGAAATTTGAGCGATTCAAATTATGTTGATCACTTACCGCTACGGGCTCACTGAGGACCTTGTGTTTGCAAGTGAAGACTAGTCACTTAAAAAAACTAACAACATATCAGGGTTTCTATGATGATAGTGCTTCAGCTTCATCTCATAGAATATATTAATGACGTGTCCGTGTCTGATGAGATAATTCGTCGCAAAGAAAAGTTTAATACTCTTGCCTTTCATTTACATCTCTAAGCTCGTTACTTTTTACACCAGTCTAACGGTGTGAAGTCACTTTGTATACTTCCGGTTTGAAGGTGAAAAATGTCAATTACTAGGAATTTTCGTTTTCTGAGAGTAAGAAACACATTAGTTACTTAATTTTTAGTCGAATGTTCAGTAATTTTCATATATTTACATCATGCAAAATATTAAATTCTTATGGTCTCTATGTTTGTCATGTCTCGAAATGTCATTAACTTTCATAAATTCGGATAGGCAATATTCGGTTAAATAATAAATCATTAAATAGAAGTTAGTACAGATATGCTAGACAAACAAGACATAAAACATCATTCATTCTCGAAGATCTTTACCTCCTTTCATGATGAGAATGTATGACACACTGTGACATGCCATAACATACGAGACTGTCCCCAAAATCAGGTGACTCACAGAGGTGTCCTGGAGTATGCTGAAATTATCTCCTTTGTATTAAGAACGATTATGATTTTATGTCATCCTCTAACGCCCTTAATTTATGAATTATAATGTCGAAATTCGGCACCGTTCAACCTTAAAATTAATATTTCCTTTTGATTTGGAAAAAAAAATCCCCCCTTATATTCCGCCTATAAGAGTAAACAGTTTGAATATTCACCACCCTAAAGGTACAGGTATTGTACCCACAAAACAGAGGGGGAGAGAGAAAGAGCCTTGTCTTATTTTCAATTAAATAATATTTTCTTGAACCCAGATATATACTGCAGTGATTCAGATTGTATCGGCCCTTCGGTCAATGGCCGATAAAAGCTACAGATGACCGGAAAAAACAAATTCAGTACGTCAATCGGGCCGAGAAAAATTCGGTTTGTCAGACAATTTGACCGAAAAATTTCTGTAGCAAACGGTCAAAACTTCATTTTACAATTTAGCCTCGATTATAACAGATATTTTCGTCCCTATCTATGCGAATAAAAAGATAAAGTACGAATCGTTTATTTAAAATAATCCGAGTCATACAGGCGCTTATCGGTACCCGGCGCTTATTGATTTAGTGTAGTGCGGAACGCTTCGATGTTTATCGTTGTTGTATGACAAATATGGCGGCGAAAAAACCTCTCTTTGATGCAAAACAACGATCTTTATTTAGTGTTGGTTTTAATAGTGAAAAATCGTCAAACCAGCCGCCTATCAAAGAAAAAGGTAGTTCATCTGATTCTAAAGTACCACGTTCATTTCAAAATAAATGGCTTCAGGCCCACAAGTGGCTTAAGTTCGATACAGAAAAGCAGTTGATGTTTTGTACCCTTTGTATTAACGACGGACGCGACAACATATTTACACAAGGTTGTAATAATTTTAGAACAAGTACTTTTAGTGACCATGTTAAATCAAAAGATCACCAGAGATCTTTAGCGGCCTGTAAAGATGACTTTAAAAGTGTGATGAACAAGCACTTCTCTGCCAAGGAAGAAGCGGTTCTACTTGCCTTAAAGACAGTTTATTACCTGGTTGAAGAAAATATACCGCTCAGTAAATTCAAATCACTCGTTGAGTTTCAGAAAAGTGTTGGTGTGAGTGGCTACAATCATCTGTCTGTATCTGACGGTATAAGCTATGAGTCGGACTATGCTGGTCATGAATTTTTGAAAGCTGTATCCGACACTGTGGAGACACATACTGTACAGAAACTACAGAAGTCCCCATTTGTTACACTTCTTTGTGACGAATCAACAGATCGTACTGTAACACACCGCCTAGTCATTTATTGCCAGGTTTTGGGGGAGGATATGTTTCCTGAAACATTATATTTATGCAACATTCGCCTAGATGAAGGAACAGGTGCAGCTATTTCTTCTGCACTATACAAGGAGTTGGAAAAAAGGGGAATTGGTCCTGAAAAGATAATGGGTCTTGGCACAGACGGAGCTAGTGCAATGACAGGTACTTTTTACAACTAAGCACAAAATTTTACTGATAAAAATGAGACCA